ACTATATCGAGCTCAAATTTATTTTCTTAGTTTATGAGCCTAAAAACTTTCAAAATAACAATCCTCGTTCTGCTTCTGAAGTTACTGAAATCGTGTTTTCCTTTTCGGTTCCCGAAAAGTACATGTGCATGTAATTTCCTTCAATTCGCCTCTGCATTATGCATGCTAAACACAGAGTAAGCGAGTGGAAACCTTTCAAAAGAAGCAACTTTTGACGACGGCCTTTGATTTGAATAAAAACAGGATCGAATCCTTTACGAGATACCCAGTAAAGAGGATCAAAGAAAATAGGGGTTCGTTAGCTTCAGGAAAATATCATCATGAACACGGGAGACTACAAAGGAATTACGCAAGCAAACAGTATTAGGTTCTTCAATATAGCCATTCTGAATGAAACCCGCAAAAGAAGAAAAGCAGAGACGAAGACAAGTAAACACGTATAAGTACACTTTCTTCAAGACTTGTCTGACTGATTTTCCAATTAGTGTCAAAGGAAATAACCAGGGATGAATGTCTGGGGTGTATACAGGAGTAAAGAAAAATAATAGAGACAGCGTATGAAAAAGTTTTCTTTGATAAGTTAAAGCTCTTTTGCAAATAAAACCCTAGGAATGCACAATTAGGAGCTGATTTGGATTCGGGTAGAGATGAGATGTTAAATGAACGAGAGGAACTTTTCAATGAGCGAAGCGAAAAACGTCAAGATTGACTCATCTTGTATCATGTAATATCGATGACATAGTATGTGCCCGATTATGGGTGGATTGTATTGGGGGAGGGGCGTGGCATTAGGTCGTGGAGGAGGTTTTACCGATCATTTCCAATGATCCAGTGCATAAGAAGCGTATTAACAATGTCACCGATGAGGGGAGGGGGTACAGTTATGATCATGTTATCCTTTTTCTTTTTCTTCATCCGTTTCCCCCTCTTCCATTCCATGTTTCTTTCTTTTTTTACCCTTTGATAAGTTAAAATGGGATTATGGAGTACACACATTATTGTCTGATTTACATAGAACATAGAAACGGCTAACGACCCTTTGGAATCCGGTAAACCCTCCCCCAGACATGGACCCTCGAACAATAATTACTCCTAGCTCAAGTACCACCACCACCTACCCTCCCCACGCCCCTTCCCTCCCCCTCCCCTCCTCCCAAAAGAATTTGGGATATTTATCGTAATGAGGGAAAGTGATGTTTCATAGCTTGTGAAAATCCTATTTGTAATGATTGAATCATTTAAGGGAAAATAAACGCTGCTGTTATCTTTTTGTTAACTCCTTAAACATCTCGATGTTGGGACCTTTAATTGCGCCAGTGGACCTATTACAAGTCTTTAGCATTTTGTGTAGAGTTGTGATTTTCTTTTTATAAAATTTTGTTATGATCTGGGGGACGGTATATGTCAATCAGGAGCCGAGGTGAAAGCCCATCTTTACCCCCTTCAAGGTTCGATCCATGATAGATGTGACTGTCTTGAGATGAGGCAATGGTTTGATAAGTTTGGCCTTGTGGTATAGCGAGGGACTAACAAGGAAGGATATAAGTGGGACCAATCGACAAGAGAATAAAAGTGGAACGAAATTGAAGAGGGACAATGATTGTTATGATAATTGTCATAATGTATGGTATTTGTAAAGAGAGAATGCGTCATCAAACTCGGGAAAACATTGTTTGTGTGTGATGCAATATCCGTGCCTGTATAGTGTACGTGAATGGTCCTGCGTTGATGCAATATAAATGGGTAATTTGCTACTTTCACGAACCGCCGCCCTCTCATTGCAAAATTTAGCTCAATTCAATTTGAATTAACATTATGTTTCCACTTTTTTCATATTTTACAGACCATATTTACTGATCAATATTTATAGGGTAGTGATAAATACTGGGTAAATGGCATTTATGTAAATTTCTTTCGACTATCAGAATCAAATCTTTCTGTGCTTAGGTACGCTGACGGTCTGACCTTAACAAATGTTCCGTTATTTCTAGCAGACAGATACACGACGCTCAAAAGACGGTATTAAACACGAATTATTGAGGACGTTAAAACGTTTGTAGAAAATTATTAAGCTAGGTTTACTTCTAAAGGACGCTATTAGTTCCATGGGTAATTTTTTTTAAAGAATGAAAAGAAAGATACCATTGTTCTATTATGGTTTAGTGTAGAACCCCCTCCCCAACTAATTTTGTCATTTCAAGATATTCAATATATTCCAAGGAATAAAAACTGGACACACAGAAACGGGAAATATACTTAGGAAAGCATGCATTCAGATAGCACTGGCTATATCCCTAAGGATTTGCTGTACTTCTTTGTCACTACAATAATGACTACAGAACATTCACCGAATGATGTGTCTTCCAAAGCAGACTCTTTCGAACCGCGATAAAGTGGACAAAGAAAAAGCTTTAAAACTATTGTGCAACCCTGTAATTTTCTCATTAAGTGCATAATGAGACAAGGAGAGTAGCTATTATCGCGGAAAGAAAGGCTAAGCCGTATCACCGTAGATGATACTGTGACATTTTAAATACCGCAGCTTGGCCTAATCCATTTCTCGCATAGAATCATGCCTTTCAAGATGCGCACAATAAACTATTATACCTTTAAGAAAATATACAGATCGGGGGGATAATGATCAATTTTCTCAACAAAGGTGCATTTATCAGACTGAGCATTTTCAAATCAAAGATTCTCGAACACTTTGGTCTGTGGTTGAGTTATGGGAATACTACGTCTTGTCCCTGTTTTGTTCAACTTTCTTAATTTGACGTTTGGAATCTCTAAGGGATCATAAAGCGTTTAAGGTGTCTTTATAGAAAAATGTATTTACCATCTTTTGTGGGAGTTTAATCTGAAAACTCATTAATGGTGAATGGGCGAAAGGAAATGAAAGAAAGCCCACAATAGCAAGAATGCAAGAGAAAGTATTTTCTGTCTCTCGGCAAACTCGAAGATGCTCATAAAGTGAAGAAGAAAAACGAGGTATTAAGAGGTTGAAGACCTGCCGAAAAAGAAGCGAAATCAAAAAAAAAAAGAGGAATTGAAGGACAGTTATTGTATTTTATAAGATAATTAAGCGGATCCTAATCAAATGATTGGTTGAGAGCGTACACGTGACCAGGTATTTATTTAGCCTAACACGTAATTTAACTAATGACCGGTCATTAGTAAAATCATATGAAATATCATTTTATAAAACAAATACAACATCATCTTATGAAACAAATAATACACATCGTTTTGTTCGGGCATTGGTAAAATTACCCACACAGGGTACCTTCGGAACAGTCTAACACGCCCGATGCGATGACTAATGCCCTCCCTGCTGTGTATTATTTGTTTAATATTTATCAAACACCATTCATACGCATACATATCAATATTACATTCCTACACGTTTGTATGCATCATATAAATCATACTTTATACCATAGTAACATCTTTTATACCGGGGACATGACAAATGTATACCAGATAAATCTTACCTGTATAATTTATGTCCCCCCCCCCCCCCCCAAAATATTGTTATTAATGCTAGTAAGTCCTGTCGTATAGAATACATTCCAGTCGATATAACGTTAATTTGTGTAATTTTCAAGGGTTTCCTGATTGATGTTCTTTTCTTCCCGTATAGATTGTGTATGTTACTTAAAAATGCAATTGGATTGCAATTGTGTATCTTTGGTCTTATTTTTTTTTCCTAACCTTTTTTTTTATCAGAATGAAGAAGAACCATTTGGAGTGCCTTGTAATTTTGTTCCACTATATCCTCATTTGTGTTAATATGTTCTGTGGTCCTATCATCCATTTCCCCCCTAATATAGTCTCATCTTTCATATTCCTTAGTATGTTCCCCTTGTCCTCATTGTGAATATGAGACACAATCGAAAAGGATAGACCACCCACAAAAAGACAAAACCGAATTAAAGAGACCGTTTTCTCCACCAATCTTCAGGATATGAATTTTGCTTAAAATACTACAAAATAATTTGTTTTTTCAACGAGATATCCCCGTATACATGGTACATGTATATAGTATTTTTATAGTCCATATAATGGACAACACTAGAAAGTGTTTTGAAGAGCTTGTTTATCAGATATATCGCACCAAGTGCATGATCAGTATTACCCGCCTTTAATGACTGTCTGGATTTGAATATTTATTTGCTAGATGCTTGCTTTACTCAATGCATTGTAACGCTTTTTTCCTGCTATTGTGTAGTAGATCTTTTGGTCGTAGGACTGTAATAAAAACGCAATTGTCGGAGTATTTTCCCACCAATGTGCAACATTCCATTACATTGATGAATTATTTTAACGGTCATCGCTCGCTCTTGAGATGCATTTTACTTCGGTGAGCGGACCGATTCATGCCTGCTCTACCGAAAATGCCCCCCCCCCCTTCTCTCTCCCCCCCCCCCCCCCCCCTCTCTCTCTCTCTCTCTCTCTCTCTCTCTCTCTCTCTCTATCTATCTATCTATCTCTACATATGTGACTGTATGTATATCTATCTACCTGTTTCTCACTGTATACCTACCATGTCTCTTCTCTTCTCTCCCTTTATCTATATCTGCCTTTCTGGTTCTTCTATTCCTTCTCCATCTCATTTTCCTTCACTTTTTTTTTCTCAAACTGTCTGTCTCTTTTTACCCTAGCACCAATACTATTTCAACCCATCTTATCCTTTTTTTTTTAAATGTCCTTATCTCTATTCGTCAAGGCTCTCCAGATTCACATTTCTATTCTCTCACCTTTGAATTTCTGTTGTCACCAATTATATCACTTCTGTCATTCTACAAAAGATTGTTGTCAGTGATGGAAGTTCTTTTTCCGCATTTTCAGGACCAGAAGTATTACTGTTATTAAATGTTTTCCAACACGAAGTCATACATGAATATTGAAATAGCCAGTATAGTTTGTGTGAGAAACGATGTAAATTTCAATAAGAAATTTCATTAATCAAAACATTTCCTATGTTTCTTTCTTTTCGACAGGGTGTCCGCTCGGTTGCAGCACATGTTCTGTCTATAATGGCTGTATAACATGCAAGCCGAGGTACCTGTTCCTTCTTCACCGCAGTGGAATGAAGCAGGTGGGGATATGCACCCACGCCTGTCCTGTCGGCTTCTATCCCAACAGTGCCGGCGACTACCATCGCTGCTCAAGTAAGTTCCGAGGCATCCGTTCATTCCACAGTTAATAACTTCTTCTATCTTTTTTTCTTCTTTCTGCAACTTCTGATCTATAATCTATTACCAATTAAAAACAAAAACTTGAAAAGAAATGTTGAAAGAGGAGAGGGGGTGTTCTCCCAGTGGTGAATGTCACAACTGTAGGTAAAATATTTAAAGGGCTTTAAACAAAACAAAATATTGGGACACTTTTGCGTGTCATGAAATGCACATTCGGGTTTGAAAAGAAGGGGAGGGTGGTGCCCGCCCCTTGATCTGTCAATGCTAAAGAATATCCGATTACAAATTATGCTAAAAGTCATGAGTCTTTTATTATCTGTTTTAATAATAGAATGAAATCATTTCATAAAATTGAAATAAATTATATTTCAATTTCATTTTATTTAATCAGAGTGGACTTCTCGATTATAATTATAACAGATATGAAATAAAAGACGATTCGTATTAAACATTTGATGCGATACGCAGAGCAAATCAGTTACACCCCGAAAAAACAGTATCATTACAATACAAATCTAGTGATGGCGCTATTGCTCTAGTCATCACTTTTACAATCAAGTGCTGATGAACGTAGCTGCCAGGGTAGCCGCGTTTCACGAAACGCTGCCGTGCAAGTTCGCCGCCAACCAAATGAAATGCGTATATTAACTTTACCACGAGAATCAATGGGATGTCGATGAACTTGTACTTCTAGCGGTTTTGTGAAACGGTGTCCAGTATTCGTACGATGCTAGTTGGTCTTGAAAACTATCAAATTTCGGAAATAGAAGCTTGATCTTATACTAAAAATAAATAAGATATAGGCTACGTTGTTCTTGACTGCCTTTTTATGTGTCTGTTCCCGTCAATTTATCAATGTTATTTTATGTTATTGTTTCCCTCTTGCTTTATTTCTTTCTTCCATTCTTTCTTACGTCTCTTCTCTTTTTAATTTTATTGTGGGAACTGTATTTTTAATCCGTTCATTTTTTTCGTCATGATCTTTCTGATACTAAAAGATATTAATATATATGTGTGTATTGCTTATCAGATATGTTGGACTCATATTTTGGCCATCTCTTCGATTATAATGCTGGAACCAACAATAACGTTTATCGTATTTCGGCCCCAAGAGCTTTTGTTTTAAATCTCCATAAGTTATATATTGATTTATTTCACGGCAAACAGTGCCTTGTTTTCGTCAGTGCACCCTGGATTCTAACCGGCTCCTCCCATTTTACTTTATTTTTCAAACGTCTTTTTAATCCATACCCTTTTCCCCCTTTCTGTTTTCTTTGTTCTTAGGATGTAGAATAGAGAACTGTGACACGTGTTACAGTCGGACCTTTTGCTCTCGATGCCAGCCGCCGTATGTGGGGCTCTACGGGAAGTGCGTCCTCCAGTGTCCAGATAGCATGTATGTTAATGAGATGACGTCACAATGCGAAGTCAAAGGTGAGATAAAATGAATTTTTAATTGGATGTGACTAAGTTCCCTTCGGTGTGTCTGTGAGTGTGGGTGTGCATGGTATGTGTGTGTGCGGGGGCAGATGGTAGCTACAAGTTTACTTTAATATTCTTGATCATACATGTATATATGAAAATGTTTTATAAACAGTTTATTTTATTATTGCAATTTATGTTTAATCCAAAGTATCAATGTACAATGTATCCAGTTTTGTTAAGAATGATCTTTACAGTATGTATTTGATTTGAGAGAAAATAATACAAATAGCTTTCACAAAAAAGCAAGTGTCGACAGGCCTATTATACAACGATCATCGGTTTAAATTGGACATTTAAACTTATTTGTGGAAAGATCTTTAATGAAACTGCCTCTATACAATGACACATTTATTGTGTGTGCTCATTTACATCATTAAATCGAGAGAGAGAAAATCCGCAGGATTAAAATCACCAAAGAAATCCACAAAGAAAGTTGTGAAAATAATTCGTACAATCTGTATTATTATTCCTGAAATCTTTCTAAATTGCAATGTTTGTATAGAGACCTGCGTCATATTTTATGTGACGCAATATCATTCCTATAAAAGATGATATCTATAAATCTATATCTATTTCATACATGTTTGTTTGTTTTCTTTTTCGAAGTCGACTGCGCCGTTTCACCGTGGTCGCCATGGAGTCCGTGCATAAAGAAAGGCCAGACCTGTGGTTTCAAATGGGGAGAGCATCGTCGTTATCGTGAGGTCGTCGCCCGGCCCACACCGGAGGCCGAGCCGTGCCCCGAGCTCTTTCAGGGAGAGAAGTGTCGCATGCACCCACGATATTGCCCAGGTAAATGTCAACTTGGAGGAATGATCGCGTTTCGTTAGTAATAATAATAATATAACAATAATAATAATAATAATAATAATAACGTTTTATTTACCCAGGGTAGCCACTTCAGTTATGAAACTGCTCTTCCAGCGGGCCCTGCATAACATAACATAACATAATATGTTATCACTACCCTCCAATCTAATATGCTGAGCGCCTAGCTAGAAGGCAGAAGGTCCCATTGTTATATTAGTCTTTGGTATGACTCGACCGGGATTCGAACCCACGACCTCCCGTTCATGAGGCGGGCGCTCTAACCCCTGAGCCACCATGCCCGGTGATAATGATGGTGGTGATGATAGTGAAGATAATGAAGGAGATGATGATGATGATGATGGTGATGATGATGATCATTATTATTGTTAGAAGTAGTAGAAAAAAAAGTAGTAGCAGAAGAAGTAGAAGTAGTAGTACGATCATCATGAATATTATCTTTGTCGTTTTTTGTCTTTATTATTATCTTTTTTTGTCAACATTATAAGTATCATGATTGTAATTATCGTAATTATTATTAGTATCATTATTATTATTATTAATATCATTATTATTATTACTATTATTATTCTCTCTCTCTCTCTCTCTCTCTCCCTCCCTCTCTCCCTCTGTCACTCTTTCCTCCTTTGTTCACAGGTCAATTACCAAGGAAACCCAAAGACAAGGGAAAGCGCAAAAAGGAAAAGGGAACCACCGACAACCAAGAGGGCACAACGAGAAAAAATGATGGCAATAAACAGAAAGATAGAACTAATAGGAGGAGTAAAAAGAAGGATAGGCAAAAGCCTTCTCCAAGAGATGAGAGGAGACAGAGGCAGAGGAAAGAGGAGCACCTTATAGATTTTCCCTTATCCACGAGGAGGACGATATGAGAGAATTAACATGATCAAAATGGAAGCCGTGGACGACGGAGATTTTGAGGGGAATTCCCTGTCATGAACGATAGGGATCATGACTTGTGATCGAATACACGGTACGTCATTGGACAACGGAGATGAGGAATTCTGCAATTATCTATAAACAACAACGTTCTCTTCTGAATGGAGTGAATATCAACTTACTTTCTGGTTTGATACATCGCTCAACAGGTCACCGGAGCTAATATAATTATGAAACTATCCATAAACAACAACAAAAGACTCTTCCGAACTATGTCTTCATTTTCGCTCCTAATTATTGCTGCTGTGAATATCGACATCACTATTAATTACCATAAGAAAGTGGTGCAGTGGTTCCCTCACTTGATTTTCCATCAAGAGGTTGTTGGTGCAAATCCCCGCACGGCACTGATGGCCGTGAACATGTTTGACAATAAATTAATTCGAATTTGCCACTCTTCACCCAGGTGTCAATGGATACCGGATATGCAGGTACCCCCGTCTATGATGGGGTATATAGCGTTTGAGAGCCAAGAGCGTCACGGCGTGATAGATATGAGCGCTATACAAGAAGCCACCATTAGTATTAGTATTGTTATTTACTAACAAAAAGTGGCCCCTTTATGCATAAATACGCCAACATTATGATGTATTCGCTTTGATTAACTATTCGCTAAAACATATCCATGTACTAAGTTTTGCGATCTTTGTTTGGATAGCATTTTTTGAATTTCTTCATTGATAATTTATAACGTTTGCTGAATCTGATGGTGGGGTAGTGAATGTAACAAACCGATGATTCTTAACGAAATAATCTCAATGTTGCGAAATAAACAAGTTTGAAATATGAGTGAATGAAATCAGTCTCTAAGATTGTTATAATTCAAGTATGTTTCCTTTGGACACGATGAGTTTCAAAACTTGATGGGTCATCAACTTGAAAGTTTTATAACATTTTGTTACGTTGTCTGTTTATCTAAACGCCTTTATAAATTTTTTTGTTTCTTGTTTCGTTTTTGCTCGTTTTACTTCAGTTTCAATTTTATGGTAACATTTTTCTTCAAATTTTGTCTTCTTTAATTGACAAAGCAATGATATTGTATGTATAGATAATCATTGGTTTGATTGAATACATGCTTTGATTTGTTACGGTAAGGTGCTTTTGTTAACTACGCCTTAAATCTTTCAATATTCTTTCAGCATTCAAAATCTATTACAATATGTTTTCTATTAGAACATTTTAATATATTTTTAATAATATGGACAAAAGTAACAATGTTATGCAAAGAAACGACTTTAATGATCCACATTTATTTACCAATAAGTATATGACATGTGCTGCATGTAATATACCGAATTGATTTCTAAACATATTTCTTTGAAATGAAGTTGAACTATCGGCTGCTCCGAACTATTTTTTTTTCTCATGTTTTTTTCCCCTCCAAGTCAGATTGTATTTCGTGGTACACATGCGAACAGGAAGTAAACAAAACTAACGATTTGTGTTTTTTAAGGTGATTGAATATTTACAGTCAGGAAGAAAAAGCTAGTACGGTACGTACAACAATATGAGTTGGATCCGATCAAGAGGGATTACCAAAAGAATTGCATATATATTTTATTATAAATTATACCTGAGTTTTGTTTGCAAAATCGGTAGTGGAACTAATTATAACTTATTCACATTTTTTGTCTGTAAATGTGGTCAATTTTGTTTAGAAGTTTCATCTTTATGCCAATAGCGTAAAGTGCAAAAGTAGAAAAAAAAATCATGACTTGCATGAGACTACGTGGATATAGGCAACGAGATTCGTATTACCATGGGTCCATGGTATTACAACCCCACAGTTGTTCTCATGTCGTGTTTGGGAAATGTCATGTAAACTGGTCAATATAATAAGGGAATTTATGATATCGTGCGCATCAAATAAGTAAAAATGAAATACGAAAATCATACAAAATATTGCATCGTGCTTTTAATTGTTTATTTCCCCAAATTTGGACTACGAGCAATCGAGTATTCTGTCAAGTTTGAATTCTCATCTATGCCAGCTGTCAAATTGGTGTCGATTTATTGTTTTTTTACATTTTTTATTACTGGCATGGGCCGAAATGTTATTTATTTACACTTATGGGGTCTACACTAATACTTGAATAAGCTATTCGATACGTCGTCTGTTTAGAAGCAGAAAGTTGTTAACTCTGTGTAACACGATATGGGTAAAATCCTTTCTTCATCCAAACAGACCCCATGTGATTATAAGATTATTTTCATAGAAATCTGTATTGATATATTTAGTTTTTGTTTAATATCATCCATTGTTTTTATAGTCATATGTGTTGTATTCTTGTTACGATTCCTTCCATGAATTAAGTGCACTGCAAGTTCATGTCTTTCATTTTTGTAATGAATTCCAAAATGTTTTATTAAATGCCAAGTGCTATTTGTACATAAAGTCGTTATCTCTTGTTTTCCGCGTCTTCATTGGTACTTTTATAAAGAACAAGATTATTAGCCTCCAGTCAAAGTATGGGCTTTCCTTCTCAGTTTTTCACAGAAACGTAGAGTTAGAGGAAATCTTGGCGCACATTAAGGGGTTCCCCCGCCTGTGACAAAACTATATAAACAACACCCTGGTCAGGGATATTAATTAATTACATAAACTCCTACCCCCTAATCATGGTTATTCCCCGAGTCACATCGACGCGAACGATACGAGTTCAACATTAATTCTCTGATCGCATACATTTGTTGGTAATATGACACAAAACAATACATTACCACGTTTATGGATTACCAATCGGTTGGTGGTTAGGCCAGTGGTATGACTGGGGTATTGACGTCCACCCACACACGATTTATTATTTGATGTGTATAAGATATACGCACACACATACACACACCACCACACAACACACACAAAAGCACACACGCGCGCCCAATAATTATAAGAGCCTTCTTTTATCTCATTCACACCACCAAACCGATTCCAATCCAACCACATCTCGACCATTGGAGGTAATACCTCAGTCCCACCAACGAGACCGACAGCAGACGGACATCAGTCGATTACATTGCACCAAATGGCCAGCAATGGTTCTTCCTGAAGTCGGTTTGACGGTGTGACTGAGGTTTAACTGTTTACTTCATCTGTAGTCGGTGTGGTGTCACAATGGGTCTCTTATTAGGTATATAACTGGGTTATCAAATACGGAACTTGTCAGCACCCCTTCTACCAACATGATTAAGTTAATTGAAGGCAATCTGATTAGATAAGCGATGGCAAAATCCGTCTACACAAGGAACCCTCTATAAAATATATCATTTCCATTGCTGATCATAGGGGTTCGGATTTTTTTGTTTCAGTTTGCGAAATCACACGAAACAAGCATTTTTGCCAAAATGTTAGACTCTCTGAAATGGATATCTGTTCTCCTGAGCATGTTGTATGTTCACCACACAATGGGAAACCAAATTACAGGTAAGAAACTCTAGTCCATGGAATATTCATTTCTTGCGGGCAACTTTCTTTAATCTAGTTATCATATATCAGCTAGTTATACAAGGTTGATAATATTTTCCTATGATCACCATAATAATGATAGAAAAAGGAAGAATAAAGAGAAAGAGAAAGAAATAGTGAAAGATAGAGAGAGAATGGAAAGGAATTAGAAAATTTAACAGGCCTTTTCCTTTTTTTTTTTGTATTTGTTCCTTCTTTTTTCCTTCTCTTCCTCTACCCCCTCCTCTTCTTTCTTTCTTATCCCGTATTTTTCTCCCAAATTTGCCAGGAACATCGGTTCATTGAGTTTAGGTAGAAACTTATTATGAATTGACTTACAGCAATTTCTAGTGATATACAGGAAGATAGCATACTGTATATATATATTTGGTCATGCATGTACAGGGGTGTCCACAAAATGATAATTCTTATATTGTTCCAAACAAGTGATCTTGTGTTCTGCTACAAATTTAATGAAAGCGAAACAAAATAGAACCAAACTATATTACAGGGTCCAGCCCTCTATTATAAAGAGTTGGTTTTTGTGTTAGAGTTGTGATTAATTTCATGTTGCAGTTGATTCAAATCATTCATTTGTCTTTTTGGTGGGGTCTCTTGCGTCCCGTGGCTTGCTATAGTACCTATGTTAGATCTTTATGAAGTTATTTTGGCGGATGGCATTCACTGACTTAGAAATCCGCTCTTCTCAGTTATAAATTATGTTCGATCATGGGACTATAACAACTTTGTTTTCTCTCTCTACAATTACCATGAAGCAATTATCAACTACAAGGGAATATCTATTTATGGAAATTGAAATCTCTTTATTACTTATCAATTATTTGATTTTTATAAGTTTTGTTAAGTTATCGTTACAAGTCATGTTGTTACGTTGCCAATTGATTGGATTGGTTACCATTAAAACCGTCATAACGATCCTTAATTCAATTGTTTTCTAACTAAATCAAAACTGCACACATTATAGCATACATAAACCTTATAATTATAAACACTACGGTTTTGCGACCGAACTTTGGCCACATTGTCATTAATGACGTAGACTCTGATGACCAGCCGCCTATGTTCGACAACACCTCCCTTCTACTGTACCTTCGTCCTAACGGAAGTGACGTCGATTATGCCATCTACACGTGCATGCAGGGATATGAAATGACACAGCCAGCCGATACGGTGTTTGCAACCTTTGCCCCTTCAACCCGGAAGTGGAATTTCTCAGCCACACCACAATGTCAAGGTCAGTGCCATGTAAATTACAATGTCACTATTAAAGAAAAGGACAAAATAAGATCACGTTCACATGAAATTCACGGAGGGCTCCACACAGTTTTCGGGCTATCTGCCTCTTTTTTTCCAGCATGCCCTAGACCGACGGCCGACGAGACCGATATATACTTTTCTATATGCGCTAGTGTATTCTTTTTTTTTCGGTCTCATGAACTTTGTCAATGTCGGTCTAATGGCGAGATCCCACAGGTAGCCGTTACCGAACATGTTGAATGCCAGTTATGAAGTTATGTAGCCTGGGCACCAAAAACGAAATAACTTGATAAGAGAGATCTCCTCAGCTTAGCCGAAAGTCACATGCACTGTACAGAAACGTATATGGGACTGGCAAACTTGTAGCACGAAAGTATGGTCCAAACATGTCAGCAATATCTTGCGATATTTGAGGAGCCATTCTGAGGGGTTATTTTTCCGTTAGGATATTCTTCCAAGTAACATTTTCACCTCTCCCAGATCTTAACATTCTCTTTAAATGTTTGTCATATTATTATGTTATAGGTATATCATGTCCCCTTCCTGCGAGCCCAGCTAATGGGTACGTGACATTCGGCGATGGCGTTGATGGTACCGGTGGTGGTGCTGTTGCTGGTACCGCTGGAGATGCAGGTAACCAGATGTACCCAGTGGGAACAGTAGGGGTGTACGCATGCAATGAGGGGTACCAGTTAGATGGAGGTCCTACCACCACCACCACCACCTGTGCCATAGATGGATCTTGGAGTTCAGCACCTCCATATTGCCAAGGTAGGTGTTGTGTTGTTGTTTATGTAAAGCACATTGCGCATGAAGCGTTATTCTACTATTATTGATAATAATAATAATAACAATATTATTAATTATAATACAAAATAATAATGACATTGATAATAATAGTACTAGTAATTGAAATGATAATAGTTATATGATAATGATAAAAATGACAATAATAATAATAATATAAATGATAATAATGATAATAATAATGATAATAATAACGATAATAACAACAGTTTTACGATTATAATAAATGTAGTAATTAGTTGTGGTAGTATTTGTAGTAGTAGTAGTAGTAGTAGTAATAATATTAGTAGCAGTAGTACTGGTAGTACTAGTAGTAGTAGTAGTAGTAGTAGTAGTAGTAGTAATAGTAGTAATAATAGAAGTAGTAGTAGTAGTAGTAGTAGTAGTAGTAGCAGTAGTAGTAGTAGTGGTTGTCGACTATGACGGGCGGAACGAGCCATAAACATGACAACTGTACAACCATACATCCATCGGATGTTTTAACCAATCAGAAGGCAGGAAACCGTACATCCATACAGTCATACATCCATACATCTATGCAACCATACAGCTATAGAACACATGTAAGATTGTTACGTGTGCAGGCCGAAATGCCATAATTGTTAAAACAACCATACATTATTCAGCTATGTAAGGATGTAAGGTTTTAACAAATCACTATGCAGGAAAGTATACAGCCATGGCGGCCATAAAACTATACAGACATTTCTGCCGCCATGGCTGTATATAGTTTCCTGCATTGTGATTGGTTAAAACCATACAGCCATCAAACTATACAGACACCACTCGCCGCCATGGCTGTATAGTTCCCTGCATTGTGATTGGTTAAAACCCTTACATCCATTCGATGGATGTATGATTGTATAGTTGTCATATTTATGGCACGGTCCGCCCGTCATAGTCGACATATTTTAGGGACATCTTATTTCTTCTACTCCAGAATATTGTCCCGCCACGTCGAATTTCTCAACGACTGTGTACTTCGAAAACGGGAAATGTTTCGATGTCCGTTCGACGAGCAAGACATGGCTCGAGGCCAATGGTACATGTCTCAGTATTGGTGGAAGTCTAGCCGTTATCGATACCAATATAACTCTGGAATTCCTTCAAAACATCCTCAGCAATGTGAATGATTCATATACAGCTGGGTACTGGATAGGGGGTTATAGGAGCTTGGAACCCGAAAAATACTGGTGGAAATGGCATACAAGTAAGTAGCAAAACACTAAATATTAATGGTACACACTTTAATTGCATTGTCTATTTTACGTGAAAATAGACAATGCAATTAAAGTGTACTAAATTGTACATAGTAAAGAATTTTTTTAAAGCGATTGCCGTTATTTTCATACTTTTTACAGTAAAACAAGACTTTGACACTTTCGTGGTTTTTATTTTGTTTGTCTCTCTGTTTGCCATTGGAAACAGTTAAAGAGAAGGTTGAGTTCTGGGAAGAGGTGAAAAATAATTTGTGAGCGTTATCATTCTTATTACGCAAGTGTGGAAGAACATCAGATAAGACATATTCCCTGAAAAGCATGGCTCTTCAAATGCCTTCATTTTCTAAATATGTCATGTAACATCGTAGAAATCCGGATAGGATTTTAACCCTATGTGCTTGTGTAGTCCCATATACATCTTTCTGTGTACGTGTTTGTAAATTTACCAAGACTTGGCCAAATTTCTTATCATTTTGATGATTCCAGAACCTTGCAATACACACAAAGTCTTATATGCTAGATGATCAACCTTTTCTGGTCGATTCCACACCGTTTCTTTTACAATGCAATCGCATGACCAGAACTCAACCTTAATCTTTAAAAGATCATTAGGTATATCTATCACACGAAAAATGGAATGTGGCACAGGGAGACTATTTGCGTGGCATACACTGCCTTTCATATTTTCATGAAAATCACTCACTAATATACAGTAGGGCCCTATACATTTTAGACACACGGTCTCCCTCACTCATACACATACCTGCACATGCACACACAAAACGGCACATGTTTTTAGACTATTTTGATTGAATACGTCACTGTCATAATTATTTATCATGATTTTAGGTGGAGACAACATAACTAACTTCTTCTGGGCTGACACGGAGCCAGCCAATGGAGAAAAGGATACTCGTATAATTCTAAGTCAGCGATCGAGCTGGAAATGGGCGGCGCATCAGTATGACACCAATCAAGATGAAGATAACCAACCACTTGGCTATGTGTGTCAGTTTGGTAAGTTGTGATACTATCTTATACGGCATCTTAGACCGAAATTTCAAATTATACTAATAAAGGTTGTGTTTGTGCTTTGTAGTTTACTAATGTGGAATGTCAAAGATTTGGGGCTTAAATCTATGTAACATTTCCTTTAATGAGTAAAGTCCGCGTTTTTTTAGTGGAGAAACTGAATTATTTGTAATTTGTCAGAGTTTATCATGTCTTTCTTTTAGTACACTGCAGACCTACGGTTTCAGAAACGACGCACCCCTCATCTTTCGCCAGTGACTTGAGCATATATTATATACGGTCCCGTTTGAATTTTTAGAAACCAACATCCTCGTCTTCTTTATCATCGTCTTTTTATTATATTGTTTAATACAATGTTTGCTGACCATGCTGACTTATAGCTGTTATTCAGTTAATCATAATCTGAACAACTCAAGATTTTCTCTGAAAGGGAGTATGTCATGACGAGACTATGTGTCTTTCCCGTGGCCCTACCCGGGGCCAATCGGGTATAATACGACTACGGACGACGCGACCGCAGCATTCACGCGCAAGCAACATATGCGAAACCGAAGCGTGAGTATAGAACTTCGGTCTGTTTCGCGAACGCTAGCGTGCTGGCCAAGTTAATCAAGTCCATTCGTTTACGTGCAGTTGTCCAACATAAGACGTAGATGGCGTTAACCAGTATTTGCCATGATACACTCCCTTTAAGAATTATCTAACGGGATGAGTTCACGTTTGGTCTCCACACAGATTCAGACTGTGTGACAGCAGGTTTGGATGGTGATGACAATGCACACGATTACAACGGAGCATGCTACTACTTTCGGAACGATGGCAGCTTTAAATGGGATGACGCCAATAGTGAAGATGGTGATGCAGGTAAACCCGGATGTCTCGGGATGGGAGGTTTCCTCGCCGAGATACGAGATCAGGGGACACAGGATGAACTAGCAGGATTTGGAACATCAAGAAGTTACTGGATAGGAGCGGTCCGCGAGGAATCGAGTGCTGACAGAACTTGGCTCTGGATGGACGGTAGGTACTCTCCCGGCTGTCAGAAAATTTACCGCACTCTTTAAATTCAATTTTCACCTTCTTGTTCTTCTTGTTCTTGTTCTTGTTCTTTTTCTTCTTCTTCTTCTTCTTCTTCTTCTTCTTCTTCTTCTTCTTCTTCTTCTTCTTCTTCTTCTTCTTCTTCTTCTTCTTCTTCATCATCATCATCATCTAGACACCATCAGCATCATGTAGTATACAAATTACAGTTGCCAGTAGATTCATGTGATGAAAGTTAGAGAGGAGGTTCAATTCTGGTAATGATGCAAAATAATTCGGCGAGCATTTTCTTCTTTCCTTTTTTTGTTATGTTTGTGGAATACAATGTCCCCAGAAAAGGCTTGCTATTTAAATGCACACGTTTTCGAAGTCTAACAAGAAATAGCCCAAAATGTGTGTTGCATACTTTTTTTAGTTCCATGTACATATTTCTGTGTAAAGTGTATATGATTTTCAGGAAGATTTAGTCATTTTCATTTCATTTTGATAAATCCTTAACCTCATGTTATTCTTACAATTTTCCAAAACCATTGTATGCTTCATAATCAACCTTTTCTAATTGCAACTGCTTTCTTGTGTCACAGTGCAAGTCTTAACTTTAAAATAAGCTTCAAAATGTTTTTTTCATATAAACATTTAATAACAAACTGAATATTTCTATACTATATCGTTATGAATTGAAAGTATGATTCGCACTATTTGATTTAGGCTCTCAAGTAGTAGATACATGGTGGGGTCCAGGTGAACCAACATCTAATGCGACTTGCATCAGCCTCTTCCCCTTCAGTGGCAACTATCTGATGAATGGTGATGACTGCTCCAAGAGTCATCGCTTCGTTTGCCAATTCAGTAAGACAGTCATTTGATTTGGTTTGATTTATGATTGCATATTTTGATTTGATTTAACTTGATTGCATTGCACCGCATTGCATATAATTGCATCATTTGCAATGTAATTCATGTTTGCTTTTAAATTGATTTGATTTAATTTTTCACTAAGTGCATATTTCACAAAACCTCAAACCACTTTCATTATCTTGTTTTCTTCTTCTATTTCTTCGTCTGCTTCTTCTTCTTCTATTTCTTCGTCTGCTTCTATTTCTTCTATTTCTTCTTCTGCTTCTTCTTCTTCTTCTTCTTCTTCTTCTTCTTCTTCTTCTTTTTATTCTTCTTCCCCTTATTATCCTTCTTGTTTTTTCTTCTCCGTCTTTTTTTTATGTTCTTATGTTAAAGATAACATAAACATCAGTATAGAATGTGGCGATCCGGGTACACCATATCATGGCACGCGAGCTACCAACGCGATGGCTTTCATTCCCGGGGACGAGGTGGAGTTCTCTTGTAATCCTGGCTATGAGATTGTCGGGTCATCAGCATTACTTTGTGGGAGTGACGGTCAGTGGAGCTCAAGTTTGCCATTGTGTCAAGGTACGTCCCTTCACACCGCGCCATTGGAAAAAAGAGGCGCATAAAACGCTTTAAAATAAAAATCAACGATAAGGATACCTCATATTCCTTTCACCTTATGTATTTGATATGTTATATTAAAATACCCCCCTCTAAGAAAAAAGGGGGAAAATAATCTTTCGAAAATAAGAAGATTCACGTACCAAACCCATTTTTATTAATAATAGCATTTGTTTTCCTGAAATCTTTGAGGCATTCTTCTGACCTTCGCGTATGATTACGAATTATGTTCAATCATATCCAAATAAAAGATTTGTCTTCAACATCCTCATGCAAATTTTAAGAGTAGACTGATGGTCAACGAGACCGACAATGTCTGTCCGTCTAATGAACCCTCAGAAAAGTTGTCAGTAGACCCTTGAGACCGATGTGTCTGTCTTGGAGGATGGTGGTCTCTTGGGCCATCCGATAACTTTTTAGGGACGCACGAGACCGTCGTTATTCGTATTTTTTAGATGTCGCTCTAGGCTACTCTGTTAGTCTGTCTATCTCGGAGTCTGTCGGTCTGTTTACATCAACGTTTAATGCATATACCAAAAATGATCATATTAAGTATTTGGTCATTGATGTGACTATCCATTTTGATATATATATATATATATATACATATATTATAAAAATATAAATAAATGACATTGTTTTTTATTTTTTGTTTGTTTGTTTGTTTGTTTCACTTGTTACATTTATTTAAACATATATTATAAAAAATATAAATAAATGATATTTTGTGTTTGTTTGTTTGTTTGTTTCACTTGTTACACTTATTTAAACGTCCCATTCTTCAGCCAGTACTTGTAACAGTCCTCCAGAAGTAGCGAACGCCCTCATAATCTACCAAACATCAGTGGACTATACAGGAACAATCATCTACCAGTGCATAGAAGACTACTATCTCACCGGCCAACAATTCATCTATTGTCAGGAAAATGGCAACTGGACTCAGGCCAAGCTTGAATGCAGAGGTATGTGTTCATGCACTCATACTCAATACCTGAAACTTATCATATCTCGACTCTCACTACTTCTTGGGCTTCAAGTTTGCAATACTTTCCTAATAACATGTCATATTACTATTTAAATTTCTTTCTAAATCTGTATAACTATAAGCACATGTTGTATCTGTCATATGAGTTGTGCTTTATAGTACCTGCTTTTTCAAGTTGTTTTCCTCACTTTGTTACATGTTGCGCTTTATAACAGCATGATTTACAATTGAGAATTACTTCAAGCCCTTTTCTCTCAAAACTCAAATATATATTCTATGCAAATTTCTAAACAGAACTCAAGATTAAATGTAAAATCGTGCTAATACGAAGTAGGTTTTATCAATTCAAATATTACATGATCCAGGTTCTGGGTTCGTTAAGTTTTTTTGTTTGTGTAATGTTTTTGTACTAGGTCTATGGATCTTTGATCTTATGCCACGATCTATTCATGTACCGCTAATGGTATTTCTCAATCTTTCTTCTAGCTCACGAGTCTGATGCCGACTGTAAGGTGACTAAGGTCAAAGTCGGTAGGTATTTTCAAGCAAATAAGTTAGTGTAGTTGTTTGAAATAGGTTCGAAAGAGGTTTTGAAATGCTTTTGACAAAACAGGAAAGTAAAGAAAAGCCAACATGGAAGGTTAAAAAGTGTGTTTGAAGATGCGCTGTGCAGGGCAGTGAGTCAACCGAGGGAGGGGTCGGAAAAGGGTGGAGAAGGTGTTTATCTTCTTTAGATGTTCATCTGATTTATTTTTTGTTTTTATTTTCTTTCGGATGATTGTAATTTCAATTTGTAATTTTTTGCTTAGATATGAAGCACATTTGTAGGAGGCCCATATTCTAGAAATGTGTGGATTATGTGCATGTATGTATAGCAGCCTATCAGTGCGTGTGTGTCAATTTGTTGGGAGGGTGGAAGAGCTGTGATTGGTTGAATGGGGATATTTGTTTTATATTTAATACAATTAGCTGATTTCATTTATTTTAGCATCAATCTATGAATTGAAAATTTATTGAATTATGCCAAGTTAAAAACTAATTGTATTTCTTCGACTGATATGTAATGTTTTGGAATCAATACAAAAATCAATACAAAAAGCCTATGGAAAAAATTGTCTGTTTGCCCGAGAACCTCTGAGAAAAATACTTGTACTGTTTCGAATGAACACAACGACATTCTTTGCATTCCCTTTGTTCTTCTTTGCATTGATTCATACAATATCTATCATATTCAGAAGACCTCTGTAAGCAATGGAGATCGCCGGCGCTGGAAAACTCGTCGCTGTATCATTTTGTAATGCTCTACAAACTGATGCTGCCATATTTGTGTTAGATCCATAGATGTCTCATATTTCATTTTTCTTTCATTGTTTTCTTTGTAGGTTGGATAATAGCGACAGGTATTTTAACGGTACTATTGTTGATATACTCCATTGCAATGACAGTTGTTAATATCAGGTAATGAAATCCTTGACCAATTATATCTCAATTTATTAGCTTTATCAGAAGTTATTTATTTGTTTCATTTATTTCATATATTTTATTGTCAAGAACATAAACTCAAATTATAGGCCCTAGATGGTCGTCAAAATCTATTCATATGCAGTATTTATTGGGATGGGAGGGACTTTGCAAGAATCTGCAAAGTTGGACTGAAATTGTAATTATCGAAATCTTTTCTTTTTTTTTGTTGCTAACATAACAGAAGGAAACCCACTGAACAACCGAATAAACTGCCGGAAGGGAACCTTCACCCGGGACCCGAGACCAGGACAGCACCAGAACAGGTGAATCATGCCTACCTAGAGCTACAAGCTGGAAACCTTCAGACGTTCCCACCAAGTCCACCAAAGCAGCTACATTCGCACACATTACCCAATGCAGGAAGCCATTCGTTCGCAAATTCTGCCAATACGGCGCCCTCTGCGGTTGCCTATACAAATCAAAGGGTAGTGGACCAATCTGTCCGAATGGCAACGGCATCCCATAACGATGATGAATATGACTACGTTGTATTACCAGAGTAGGAGGGGATAGAGAAATAGAAAGGTGTGATAAGCAAAATGATAATGATAAGGAGAAATGAAGATATATTAAAGTCAGAGTCATCTATACACAGAGTTTGGCCAACCCGGTTCGAGATGGACACAATATGGCGACTACTGCTTTGTTGAGCAAGCACAAAACGAAAGAATATAAGCCATGTTGCGACCCAGTGAAACCAAGTTGGCCAAACGCTGTGTATAGATGGCTTTGATTATAGTCTTTAGAAAGCGCCTTCTAGTGTTACAACCACCGCATGGCTTGTTCCCATGGCATATCCCTTTGCCAAATGTGTCAAATGTATTTACCAAACTTTGTCTGAGGAAGTAACCATCTAACGAAGACCAAACACATGCAAGACCTCTCGTTTGAGACAAAAATTTATCGTTTTCTTTCTTTCTTTAAAGGGTAACCCCAATTTTTTTCCATTTTTTTTTTTTTTTTTGTAATCTTGATCAAGTCTGGTCATTCATGTCAACGTTCAATTCATCCTCTTTCACGTAATACCAATTATGTTATGTTATTTGCGTACATGGATCAAAGAATGCCCCCTCATTGTGCTCAAATCGTTGTTTACATTGTTGGTTTAAATTATTCTTGTTCGAGGACCCCAGGCTCTGTTATCACAAATAAGGCATCATATGAATGAGGATAAGACTACATGTGTTAATCATTTATTACAATAAATATACTTTTGTTTATTTGCGGAGATGTTGGAGGAGAGAGTTAGGTTGTGTTTTTTTTTCAAGAAACACACTGTACATGTTTTATGGCAAACTGTTCCACTATATTAAAAAGTAATCCAAGTTCTGTAAACCGAATCTTTATAACAGAAGAAATGAATTCCTAACATTAGAAGTGGATATAGCATGAATATTTAGATCATTAACAATAAATAATTAAAACCAACCCGGTCGGTCAAGAGATGTTCAATTTACTGCTGTATATGATACCCGCAATGTTACGCCAACAACAACTTTTAAGGAGGGTTCCCAGTTTTAGGGAATAGAAAGAAGGACAAAATTCTACCAAATTGAAATCAAACTTGTTTTTGTTCCCAGTATCAAATATTTGTATCAAGAGGATGAAATACTGTAACTATACCTTTGTCGTTCCACGATTTTAGGGATAAAACTATGCTGTTAACTCGAATTAATGTATTTTTCACACAGTCGTGTGCAGGGAGATAGATCGTTTGCAGCATGAAAGACTTGAATGGATAAACCAGTTTTGGAATCACCCCCTCTCAAAAAATGAAATGGAAGCTCTTCTTACCAATCATGTGAAAGAATATGTTTTGAATAAACCGCCTACTAATTGATATATTTGGTAAATTATTATATCTTTCCGGACTGGATAGATATCGCGTAGTCCCATATACACCTTTCTGTGTAGAGTGCTTGTAACTTTACCAAGACTGGGCCAAATTTTCAATAATTTGGATGATTCCAGAATCTTGCAGTACACACCAATACTTATATTGCTAGATGAACAATCTTTCTGATCGATTCCACAACGTTTCTTTCACAATGCAATCGCATGAATAGAACTGGTCTATACCTTTAATTAAAAATGCACATTATGTGGTGTGGATACATGTTGATCATTGTATAATTTACCAGAGTAACATATCTTGATGTAACATTTGTTTGGGTAGAGCAAATTCTATCTTTCTTTCTTTTGTTCAGTTTGTTTGTTTGTTTGTTTGTTTTTGTTCAATTTCAACATAACAAGATTGTCTCATACATAAGATTAACAGGAGAATGCATAATAAAACAATGATAGACAAATTTAGTATAAATGAGAAAGTTCTTACACGAGCTGGAGTGCAAAGGAAAATAATACTTGAAATGTTGATTAGGCAGTTGAAGTTCAAGGGTCACAGTACACGTAAAGAAGGCTATAGAATCTTGCTTTGACAGGGAAAATTGTGGGAAGAAGGAGTAGGGGAAGAAGGAGGATACTTTGGATGGACAGTCTGCAGAAATTGTTGGAAGAGAGAGGAGTGAAAGAACTGGAAGTGGTACTTATACAGAAGGCTAGGAGCCGAGGGTTGTGGAACAGCATGATCACCAAAGTTAAACGACATGGCACTTAGGGAGAGAGAGAGAGACATGAGAAATAATAATGAGAAATATGTGGACCTATTAAGAACCAAAGCTTGTATTATAGCTTCTAGAATAAAATACAAGAATATTGTAACTAAATTCGATAGCAATACAGAAAAACGTACACAAGTAGCATACTTGCCTAGATATTGTTATCAAATCTACATCGAAACATACCCATACACAAGGTCGAACACCTTGTTATCTTGTTCCCTTTAATCTTAATCCCCCGTAGCGATTACACATGCATATATTTGTGATGTGTAAACTGATAGGTAGTATATCTTACCATTCCGTAGAAATGTAATAGTAAGTTAGCTCCATGAACTGTCCCTAAAAGGGAGACAGACCTGGGGCCCGTTTCACAAAGCCTTTTTTCAATGCCAAATGACAAAAATCAGAGACAAAAATCTGCTGATAACCAATCAGAAGCAAGGATTTCAGTAGCTTGTAACAAAAACTGTCATTTGTCACTGATGACAAGTTTTGTGAAACGCCCCCCTTGTCCCTGTATCATAAAACATGTTATCAAAACAAGTGTCACATATGATTTTATCTATGACAAATGCGCTTAAAGCAAATCAAATGCAAGGATTTTAGTAGCTTATAACGATTCGCGTATGTTGTTAATGATAACAAGCTCCATGAAACTTAGCCCTGATATAGGTGCCTGCAGTAAACTTCCCTCTTTAGGTGCCCGACGAAATCGAACTGTTTAATAGACCTTGTGTTGACAGTTGGTACAAATTTGCTTCTGAATTGTACAGTTGTGGTTAATTCATATATTGTTTTTATTGCAAGATTCATTGATTGATTGATTAATTTGATTGGATAGCTTAGATTCTAGAACCCGTCTTATAAAACAAAATGTTGAGTGTCACGTGGCAGCTTTCTAGCCAATAGGACACTCGCCAATAAATGTGTCACTTTTCATTTTCAGGGGTATTAAGAAGCAACATATTCAAAATCATACCCTGCAGAATGTTTCTCTCGTACTGCACCCTAATATCCGTTCTCTCCTGATATGTATTTCTTTCTTTCCAACTCATCGTTGTCTCCAGTATCCTTATTCCAGAGAATCCAGAGTTATATGTTACCATTTTGTTCTGCATCTATTTTTTTTTCGTTTTACGCGTAGTTGGAGTGAACATTACATCAACTCCATGGTGTTATTGCACATCACCTCTTTGACCCAAATAAGAAATGAAGAAAAAAAATCAAAGTCCAGAAGGTAATGACCTCTGATTAATTCAACAGCCCCATGTCAACAAATTAAAGGCGTGTACTGCCTCGATTGTGTCATTGATAGACTAATGGTCGTATTACTGATACTTCAGTCACACCAGCCAACCAACTCAATACGAACTCATACCGATCAATCCTTGGTCATTCAACGTAATGGTATTATCTTGTTCACTCTGTCGTCGGTCTGGGGTCGGTGTCATCGGTGTGAGTGGGGCCCTGTCCGTACTTTAAATTGATCTTATTGATAGGACACTATTGACCTAAAGTCGTATACCGTTCAACATCATGGGTTATTACATTAGCTGCTCCTTCTAATTTCGTTTAAGGCATATTGACGGGTATGGCCATTATACAACTGCTGCATGCTCTTAAATAGCCTAAACTTGGCCTTAAAAAATTGGGTTATTTTTCAAGATTTTGCAAAGAAGAAACCGTGGGATTTCATAAGATGAGGAAAGTATTCTCGAATTCGGTTGAATTTGTTTTGACTAAAGCGATGAATTCACTGTCATGGATTATCCTGATTTTACTCATTTGTGCCTTCCCCTCGGATATATCTGGAACACATGAAGGAGGTACGTATACCATATTTATGTATAGTAGGCGGCTAACATAACAATGAAATAAGAATATTAATTATAATGATAATAATATCAATAATTATGTTATAGCAATAAAATTTTAGAAAAATGATATAATAATATTAATGCCAATGTGAATAACAATAGTAATACTGATAATGATAACCATTGTTATAATTGGTAGGAGTAGTATTGTAATCATAACGGTATCAAATTAAATAAGAATATTGATTATAATAACATTAACGATAATGAAAATGATATTAGTAATGAAAATAATAATGTTAATAATAACAATGATAATGATGATGATAATAATTATGATGATAACAATTACAATGATAAAAATGATAATAATAATAATGATGATAATGATAATAATAATAATGAAAATGATAATAATAATGATAATGATAATAATGATAATAATAACAATGATAAATATAATAGTGAAAACAATTATTATAATAATGATCATAATAATCAGTTGTAGGATGGAGTCAAGTATCTACCATCAGCGCATGCAACGAGACGACTACCGCTCACCCTAATACCATCGTCAACGAAACGGTGATCGAAGGCTACGCTGTCTTCACATGCGACCTCGGTTTTGAAATGAACGTATCTGACCATGGGGATGCCGTACTAGCAGTTTGCAACGAAACATCGGGGAATTGGGAATTTATTGATCAAAGCCCGAACTGCCAAAGTAAGTATTTTAGCCTTTTTTTCAGTGAAGAAAAGTTAGGTGAAATTCGTTGTACTTTGGTGTTTAAAAAAATCGAATATTCGAATTTGTTGGAAAAAAATTGATATTTGGTCGAATATTGGGTGAAATGCACATTATATTTAATAAAGAAACAACATTTGTAAAATTTCTACATGTATTGATAAGTGATCATAATGTGGGTGAATATGTTTAACGTGTCAATACAAAGACATGAAACGAACATTCGAGTACCTGCCGATCATTTTTTAATACTTTTAACATAATAATATCAACCCAAAATTAAAGCATTTATTTCTTTATCTTTAACAAGTGATATCTTGCCAGTCTCCTGCATTGCCAGCCCATGGGGACTTCAATACGGATGACCCGGGATTCGGAGAGACAGGCAACTACACTTGCGACCAGGAGTACGTCATCGACGGCGAAGGTATGGTGACCTGCCTCGCCGATGGATCGTGGAGCTCGGAACCACCTCGTTGTAAAAGTAAGTGGATTCAGGGGCGGATCCAGGGTTCTTTAATGGGGGGGGGGGGGGTGACGATTCCGAAAAATATTCTGTAAGCAAGGGCTGGTTATCACATTTTGGAGTTGTTGACTTACTGAAAATGTTCAAACCGGCTTTCAGCATATTCATATTCATATTCTATTTTTCCTACTTCTGTTCAAATCCATTTCAACCCAGGGTGGACGTCTCCTTTAAATGGGGAGTAGAGGGGCAGATATCACATTTTGAGGTCTACACTATAGATTTACTATTCAAAATATATACGTGACAAGCCAGATTTTTCAAGTACTTTAGGGGTGTAATATGTATTTTGATTTTGATTTTGGTACATAAGGTGATGTATCAGGGTTTTAGTAGGGGCGTGGCCAGAACAGAACCATTCTATTTCTGTCTATGGATAATACTAAGAAGAAGAAGAATTATAATTTATTTGGTTAAACGACTTAATTGAAGTAAAATTTCTTTCCGAATTATAAATAATTGGAATTGCTTTCAAACAACCTTCATGAATAACTTTTCTATTCTAAGGTCCTGAGAATAAAATCTTCGTCGTATTTAAGTCTCTGTTTGTGTTGTGTTTTATACTAGTTCTTTATTTGATTTCGTTATATTTTCTTTTCAAAAGTAAGTTGTCCAACGTCATCGGACTCTTTAGCAAATGACTACCTCAGCGACGGGTATTGCGTCGATGTTAACTCTGCCACAAAGACGTGGAGCGAAGCTAGTGAGATGTGTGTCAGCCAAAATGGAAGTCTGGCCATCATCACGACCAATGAAACCATGGAGTTCATTCAAGCCATTCTCAGTAATGTGAGCGATAGTTATACGAGCTACTGGATAGGAGGGTACGAGGCACCAAAGAATAGCTCGTGGAAATGGCTTACAAGTAGGTGATATCTTGCAGGATTAAAACATTGGATTAGCCAAAATAGCAACAACAACAAACAAAAAAAAATTAAAAAGAAAAGAAACCAAACAACATCTGAAGCCTATATTGCCTATTTCAGTACTTTCTTCTTGGAAATTAGGTTTCCTTTCAATTCAAATCTACTCGATGGCAAAATCTTTAAAAATATCCAACCTAAAAGGGAAATCGTACACAGACGTATGGTTTACATACAATAGGGTATATGAAATTGCTCTTTTGTTTATTATTCGAATGTCTTTGCAATATTTTAAGTGATCTTCTAGAAAGAATGACATTGAGATTTCGTGGTCTCTATTCGTCAGTTTAATATTTTCATGAACATCGCTCACTTTATTTTGTAGGCCAAATATCAACGGCACACACTCTAAAAATGACGTATGCGTGTTTTTCATACTGTATTCACTGAATATGATATCATCATAATCATATGGACTGATTTTAGGTGGAGACAACATAACTAACTTCTTCTGGGCTGACACGGAGCCAACCAATGGAGACAAGGATACTCGTATCATTCTAAGTCAGAAATCGAACAGGAAATGGGCGGCGCATCAGTATGACACCAATCAAGATAAAGACAACCAAGCACTTGGCTATGTGTGTCAGTTTAGTAAGTTTGACACTTACGGTACCTTAGACCGAAATCTTAAATTATACGGACAGAGATTGTGCTCGCGCTAGGTCGTTATATTTACATGTATTTTGTAATATCAAAATTGTTAGAGCCTAGATATCTTCTTCTTAAAGAGTAAAGTATGAGTCCGCGATAATTTTCATGGTGGAGAAACTGAATTGTATAGGTAAAGATTTCAGAGTTACACCATACAATTCTGTTTAAAGAAAATGGCTGGTGAGCTCGGCTAAAAGCTCTTTATTTCTCGTCATTGCGATCACTATGCTCTTATCGGCTCTCATGTCTGCAGGGAAATATGTTGTAGACATACTATTATCGTTTTCAGAAACGTCGCACCCCTCCTTTTTTGTGCATAGGATGATAGGATATATAAAGGGGCGCGTTTAAGTTGCTTTTTAGGAACCATCATCATCGTCTACTTTATCATCGTCTATTTTATTATATTTCTACCATGTTTGCTGATCATTCTGACTGGTAGCTGTTATCCAGTTAATCATAATCTGAACAACTCAAGATTTTCTCTTAAGAGTTATCTAACGGGATGAGTTCACGTTTGGTGTCCACACAGATTCAGACTGTACGACAGCAGGTTTGGATGGTGATGGATATGCGCACGATTACAACGGAGCATGCTACTACTTTCGGAACGATGGCACCTTTAAATGGGATGAGGCCAATAGTAATGATGGTAATGGAGGTTTTTCCGGATGTCTCAGAATAGGAAACGAACAAGGTTTCCTAGCCGAGATACGAGATCAGGAGACACAGGATGAACTAGCAGAATTTGGAACATCAAGAAGTTACTGGATAGGAGCGGTCCGCTATGAATCGAGTGCTGACAGAACTTGGCTCTGGGTGGACGGTAGGTACTCTCCCGGCTGTCCAAAGTCATCCCTCCTATTGGTCAGATTCGATTTTCTCCTCCTCCTTCTTCTTCTTCTTCTTCTTCTTCTTCTTCTTCTTCTTCTTCTTCTTCCTCCTCTTGTTCTTCGTCTACTTCTTCTTCTCCATCATTATCATCATCTAGACACCATCAGTATCATACAGCATGTAGCCTACCATAATACATAATGTAGTATACCATTTGCAGGATTCAGTAGGTTCATGTGATGAGAGTTAGAGATGGGGTTTAGTTCTGGTGAAGATGGGAAAATAATTTGGTGGGAATTTTCTTTTTGTTTTCACTTTTTGTGGAATTTTATGTCCCCTGAAAAAGGCTTGCTCTTCAAGAGCACTCATTTGCGAAGTCTGACAAGAAATAGCTCAATATTGTTTGTTGCATACTTTCTTGCCAGATGTGAGTTGTGATTATAGTCCTATATACACATTTCTGTGTTCTGTTTAGCATGACTTCGTCAGTGTCTTTTAATTTTGAGGAATCCAAAACCTGTCCTCATAGTAGCCCGTTCTTGTATTCTTATGCCATAATAAACCTTTTCCAATTGCAATTGCTTTCTACTGTCACAAAGTAATGGTATGACCTGAACTCTAAGATTGTAACCAATGTCATCTACTAAATGATTGTTTTAATTTCCCGTAATCTTGTCTAATACTTGATCTCAAAGGCTCTACCGTAACGACAAGTTGGTGGGGTCCAGATGAGCCCAATAAAGACTCTGAAAACTGCATCGACCTTTACAAGTACAATGATGACTACTTGATGAATGACGAGGCGTGCACGAAATCAACTCGCTTCGTCTGTCAATTTAGTAAGATACAATGTATATATCACTCTCTTTTAATCCTTTATAAACTTCCTGTAACTTTCATATTCCTAAGCATGGTAGACAAATAATAAAACCAGAGGGAATTACGCTATTGCTTTACTTCTTTGACAAGACACATCATTGTTCCTATAGCGTCCCAATATCAATATTAATATTTACTCAAAATTTTCTGTGTTATATTATATATTGCTAGCCAAGGTCGTTCATAGAATTGATATGAAAAAGTTATATGCTAAAAGATCATCATTATATTATCATCATTGTTATTTTTATCATTGTTATTCTTAGTAGTATTATTATTATTATGATGATGACCGTATTTATTATTTTCATTGTCATTATTATTATTATAAATACATTTTTGTTGTTATTGTTGTTATTATTATCATTTTTATTGTTATTATTATTATCATATATGAAATAAAGCCGGAAGCAATTACAGCGGGACCGGAAATTTCGCATCATCTTTTAGAATCATATAATGACCAGCCTCTATCTGATTTGTCTTCCCCCTGTAGGTGCTACCAATTCAACTACTGTGTGTGGGGATCCAGGCGACCCTTACCACGGCAATCGAGATGACGACATCTCGGCTCCTTTCTTACCAGGTACGAGCATCGAATTTTCGTGTAACGACGGATATAAAATAGAGGGAGTATCGGAAGTCGTGTGCCAGACGGACGGGACCTGGAACGCTTCACTACCAAGTTGTAATGGTAAGAATATAATGAAGATTAAAGGTAAAGATCAGTTTGGAAATGCCCCCTCTCAAAAAATGAAATGGAAGCTATTAATAATAATAATAATAAAAGTGAACATTTATAATGCGCCATGCCTGTCAAAAATGACACTTCTGGCGCAGTTGTGTGGAAAATTGTATAATTGAGGGCATACGACCATCAAGTGATTCAAGAAAGAAAGTAAAATACACATAAGTTAAAGTTTTACATACTTCAGGACATAATTTGCAATAAACGAATAATACGATACAAAGCATATTACAGAAATAAAAGTTGTATAAGGGTAGTTCAATGTAAGACATAATTAAACAAACTAATATGTTGAGAACAGAAACGTTTTTAACAGACACTCGAACTGTGAGTAGGAGTTCTCATTTCGAAGGTGAGGAGGGAGTGAGAATATGTTGTGACTAATACGTGATAATACAAATTTTGCCGGGAAACCGCCTACTAATTGATATATTTGGTACATTATTATATCTATCTGGACTGGATAAATATAGGGTAGTCTCATATACATCTTTCTGTGTACAGTTCTTGTAGCTTTACCAAGACTGTGCCAAATTTCTTATCATGTTGATGATTCCAGAACATTGCAGTACACAACAATACGTATACTAGATGATCAACCTTTTCTGATCAATTCCACAACGTTTCTTTCACAATGCAATCGCATGACCAGAACTGGTCTATACCTTTAATGTTTATTATCATTACAGACTTTGAATTTTATAAACAAAATTGTAAACTTATTTTGTTGTCTACATGCATACGATACCTGGACATTTCACATTAAACAAGTATTTGTGAAGAATATGGCCACTTGTAAAATATTGATAAGGGAATCATTTAGATGTTAGTCAAGTTTAAACAGTAACTTCTTAGCTCCTAATTGTTTAATCAATGTAGGAATTTCATCACTGTTTACTATTTGTAATGACATGTACAGATATCCAGAGTATTGTTTTAAAATCCGAACCGATATGCGTCTCGAATTCGAGCATAATCCTCAAAACGACTGATAATGTTTCAAGATTATTACATTTTTCATTCTCTCTCTCTCTCTCTCTCTATAATACATATCCCTCTCCTTTCTTTCCCCTCTCTCTCTCTCTCTCTCTCTCTCTCTCTCTCTCAACTGCTCTCCTCCTCTTTCTTCATCTTTTCATCATCTTTCTCCTCCCTCCCCTCCTTCTACCCATCCCCCCCCCCCCCCCCCCCCCCCCCTACTTGTCTCCTTCTTTCCCTCCTTACCTTCCTCCTTCTCGCATTGTACCCTGTAGCCGTTAAATGTGGTTCTTGTCCACTCTTCGACAACGCCACCCTTCTATTCTCTACCTCAACCTCGTATCGTGGTACAGCGGTGTATGGCTGCAACGGTGGTTATGAGTTAGTCGGTACCCCAGCAATATACTGCCAGGCCACCGGAGTCTGGAGTACTGCTCAATTTAACTGCTCAGGTTTGTCTAGCTGTCTTCTTTTTTTTTGTTTAGGTCTAGGAGAGGTGTTCTCGGATATTAATTTTTCATGCGGGCCAAAAATACTATTTTCAAAAATTGGATAGCGGTCCATGGATCACATATTGTAACAGGGCAGTGAGATATTTTCAAAGTAGGCTATACCAATACTTTAGGCAAGAGATGATAAAAGGGAACCAAGCATAAACTATGTGGGAAATTGTTGTCTTTTTAGTACCACAATGTTTGTGGCGGCCCGTATGTGATCCGTTGACCGCTATTTCCATGATTAAAGAACTAAGAGTCCTTTGCCAATATTTATAAAAACTTGGCCCAACTACGTGGCTAAGTTACCAACTTCAGAATAGCCAACCTAATCATTTAGTTAAGAACTAGCAATTCTGAGTCTGATTTTGGAGCCTGTATGTAAATCACATAAGTGATTATGTCTCAAAAAGTAGTTGGCCATCCCCAAGAATAATTCGAATACTCAATGAAACCTAACTCAGTAACACTAAATGACATAAAGGCGTGTTTTGGTTTTTACAATGTCTTTTTTTTTCCTCAGAGATAGAGCTAGAGATCACGACCACTGGAACGGAAACGACACATGTCCCTACGACTGAAATTGAACAAGTAACTACCATAATCGACCCCACGACGCTGATGGATTTGACCACGAATGCAAAGACGACAACATTGGAAGTGTCGACACTGGGATATACTACAGCATTCGATGAAACCTCCTCAGAGATGACAACCTTGGAAGCAGACAGGACGACCGAACCACAAGATGCCGGAACTACACTTGCAACCACTACCATATCAACAACACAAATATTAACTACAATGACTGGAGTGTCTTCCACTGAAATGACTACAACATACGCCGATTCAACATCTGAAGGGGACAGTACGACGCTTCTACAAACCACTGCCTTGGAAACGACTTTACTTGATGTGTCTACTGGAGGTTCGTCAACGGTCGTTGGTACCACAATCCCGAGTGTTTCAACTGATGGTAATGTTCCATCGACAGACCAGAATGGCCTGACTGACATGATAACCAGTTTACCTGATATTTCGACTTCGCTTCCCACAACTCAAATGACCACAGCTACAATGGAACCTTTAACGACATCTGGTCCTACAACATCACGTCTTACAACAACCGGGTCTTCAACATTCAGTCCTACAACATCCGGGCCTACAACATTCAATCCTACAACATCAAATCCTACATCAACAAACCCTACAACATTAAGTCCTACATCAACACATCCTACAACATTGAATCCTACAACAACAAATCCTAAAACCACAAGTCCATCAACATCCAGACCTACAACACCCGGCCCTTCAACATTCGGTCCTATCACATCCAATCCTTCAATATCCAGTCGTACAACATCGAGTCCTACAACAACAAATCCTACGACATTAAGTCCTATGACAGAGGGGATTTCTTCAACCAGCAGTACAACTTTCGCTGCCAAGACCAGCTCACCAAGTAGCAGTACGATTCCTCCTGCAGAGCCTACCCGGATCAAACCACTGAGTACCACAGAGGAGTCTGAGGCAGAAAATACTCTACCTGTCGCTCTCATCGGTAAGTGTAAATTTAAATAAAAACTTAAAAATACTTTTCACATAGTTAGTTCAAAGAGCCAGCTAATGTTAAGAGTTGTTTAAAGAGGTTGAATATTAGACGTGACATTACAGTGTGACTCTTTCTAGAAGCAAACAGAAAGGTTGATAACGTCACAAATATGAATTGTTGTATACTGTGAGACTGGGAATGGACAGACTAAAAGGACCCGATTATGATTAAAACATCATGCATTGCACACAGACGTGGCAGAAATCAGTATGCTTGACCAGGGATACCGCATATCTCTAGTTGGACTACACACATGAAAAGTTTTTTTTTTTCTTCAAACTTTTCAACCAGTTCTCGTCATATTTCGAATATGAGGGCATTAGAAGAGCAACTTCTTTTCTTTAACTCTTCCTCTATTTTGTAATTTTTCTGAGAATCTATACCTTGGTATTCTTCCAGAGTGACACAATCCAGATCGAGAAAGCTTGCAAATTAGTTTGTACATGTATCTCTTTATGTTTCTCCGTCCACATCTCTTCCATGCATTAATTTGTTGATAAAGATACTGAAATTCATTGAATTGCACCAAAATGATACCATTGGACTAATAGCTGATTCTAATCATACTTTCTTTTCAGCTTCAATATCAGCCATATTTGGACTGCTTCTCATCGTCATGGTACTCATCTGTATTATAGTGTTGATGTCATCGTCTAAGAAAAAGAAGTAAGAAAACAATAATTGATGATATGTTATTATAACACTATATGATAACGATGATGATGATGATGATGATGATAATGATGATGATGATGATGATGATAATGATGATGATGATGATAATGATGATGATGATGATGATGATGATGATAATGATGATGATGATGATAATAATGATGATGATAATGATGATGATGATGATGATGATAATGACAGTATTACTTCTACTCCTACGAATACTGCTGCTTATGTTGCAACTACGTCTACTAGTGATATTAATTATAAGAGAAGAAGAAGAAGAATTTTAAAGTAAAAGAACAACTATAAGAAGAAGAAGAACAAGAGGAAGAACAAGAAGAAAAGGAAGACGAGGAGGAAAAAGAGAAGAAGGAGGAGGATAACTATAACAATTATAACGGTATTTCTAAACAATCATAGCCATTACGTAAAATGCTCAAGGCACTCAATTCTCACTGCTCTCTATACTATAAAACTCATGGTGACATTTTACTAGACCTAGAATGATCAATGCAACAACTCAAATTTTCCATAAATATTTTTGTTGACGTGGTAAGTTTGAAAGCTTTTATAGATACATGCATTTTGTCATTTTCTAAACGACCATTCGTCGAATCTAATTTGTTCAAACAGAGCCACTTCCCATACTCTGTTGATGACTGACTTTGGTCCGGCAACTGCAGACGCCTCATCTTCCAATGACTCCATCACATCATATGAAGCCATGGTCAACAGCGTCTATGCCAACGAGGATTACCGCAAGAACATCCTAAACTACAACCCCTCGATGCCCAGAATATCGTCCATAACCGGTAGTAGCCACAGCCCAAACGGTTGGGGTTATCATCTGACCAACGCCGAGGGCGCTGCCGGATCTGAACCGATCTACGCACAGGTTTACAAAGACCGCCAGTCGAGTGTCGTCAGGTTCCCGTCCATGTTTGATGACAAACTTGTCGAGAAGAGATTGCTCTCTTTTGATCCATCAAAGCGGAGTGATCTCGCACCATCAGATCTGATGAGTAATAATAGAGATATCGTCTTTGAAGGCACTGAGTAGTTTCTAGTCAGTTTTGTTCTGCTTATAAGCGATGACACTTGATACGGATGCTTCTTATTAAATAGCGCCACAATATTTTGATGAAATTTTTGCTACAAGATATAAAAGGGGCGATGCACTTGGGGAGAGTTTAAGGTTTTTTCCTCAAGGGACGCTCCTTATTTTGCTTTAGGTCTGAGGGCCGGTTGATCACTAATGAATGTACCAAAAGGTATCAAATTCCACTAACTGAATTTCGGTAGCAGCCTACCGCTGCTTTACAAACATCCTAGAGGAATACAAAGAAAATGGCGTGTAGCACGATTTTCAAGAAGGAAAAACATTGAGGTTTCCCCTTGTTTCATACTATCAGAGTATCATATTAATCTGTGAGCGCAACCTAACATCTGTGAGGCTCTAAATATGATGAAGGACCTTCTATTCCCCAAAAATAAATCAACAGTTTGGAGTTTGCTATCGGACTTCCCGCCCTTCACTCGTAAAATGCTGTACGGTAAAATAATACGATTTTTGTTTTCTTTCTACTTTGTTAATAGTTAAAAGTTAATATTGTCTTTTGTTTCTTTTTGTTTAAATCACAATATCACCCACCTCAATTTACAATTACCCTCATTTCAAAAGCTACTAATCTTGAAAATTAGAGGAAGGTCTATGATATCAAAACTACATTATATACACATGTATAATGATACTTCCATATAATCGTTTCTGAAAAAGCATAGATAGTTAGCCCTTTAAATATGATATCGGTATATTTCTCTAATTATTGTTTTTTTATAGTTTTAGTTCCCAATGCTGAAAAATGAATTACTAAGTCAGGATATCTCGTGCATGACAATAGAATATTATTACCGATGATGCCTTGTTTTTATCATTATATGTATTAGGGTTTGGGATCTGTAAACACTTGTACAAGCCTTATCACAATTAAAGATGATGGAAATGATGGTGTTTACTTTATACTGCACAGCTCTATATTACACTATTGAAATAACTTAAACGAAGACGACGAAGAAGAAAAAGAAGTGGGGTAGAAGAAGAGGAGGGGGAGAAGACGATGATGAAGAAAAAGAAGAAGAAGGAGAAGAAGGAGAAGAAGGAGGAGGAGGAAGGATAAGAAGAAGAAGAAGAAGAAGAAGAAGAGACAAAGAAGAAAAGAAGAAGAAGAGGAAGAAGAACAAGAAGAACAAGAACAAGAACAAGAAGAACAAGAGGAAGAGGAGGAGGAGAAGGAGAAGAAAAAGAAGAAGAAGAAGAAGAAGACATTTTGTATAAGAGCAACAGAAGAAGAAATTGAATGGTATCAAATATCATCTAACACTTGGAAGCTTTTTTACATATCTTGTTTTATTATACAAGTGTTATTCAAATATTTACTGATTTCATTTGCGATATGTTACACTCATCGGTACAAATAACTTACTACTATTTCTGAATTCCATTATTTTATCCTAGTAATGTATGAAGTACAAAAGTTACATTTACAAGTGGCACTAAATAAGTCAAATGAGAATTTCGCAAAGCGTCTGTATATATACAATTTGATTATGTTGGAACTTTATATTACCATGAAATAATAAATGATCGTGTTGACAGACGTACATTTATTGAATGCTTATTGATTCATAGTTTATTTTTCATGTTTTTAGAATTTAAAAGTTCGTACAATCTAAAACATATTAGCCCGAAGGTAGTTAACTCTTTTCAAAATTAAAACATACTTTTCTGGCCCTCAACAGAAAATACATGTAGTATCACTTTCACTCAAACAAAACAATAATTTGAAAATATTCAAATCCTAGATTATCAAGAGCATCATACAATCAATATCTTGTTAATTATGGCAAAGTTAGAGTGTGACTTTTAAGCCCCAAACGATTTTACTATGTTTATTCGAATCATGTAATATTAAATGCAAAATTGCTATTTGTACGGGCCAAAGTTGGCATCGTGGGTCATGTGTGCCCAGCTGGGTCCTGTTTCGCTGTTCAATGTACAAATGTCAAAAATCATTGACAAATTCGCTCATAATCAATTACAGTTACTTGGGCATCTTTTATACATCTTACTTTTAGATCCTAATCAAATGATTGGTCAGACGCGGTCATTTACTGAGACTATCCCATGTTTTGTTTTCATGAAAAGCGTTCAATAGTTTTCCAGCACTATCCAACGATTTTTAAGAACGCAATACACGGCAGGTGTAAACTGTAAGTGCACTTGTCTCTGTGTGCGCGCTAAAAGGAGCCTATCAAACTTGGGATATATAACAAAACAATCTTGAAATACATTTTTGTTTGATCAAGTAAAAAGGATCTAGGGGCTCCATTGTATGAAACAAAAGATGCATGTTTTCATTCGTTCATTAAACGATTTATCCGCTCCCGCTGAGTCTGTGTGTGCACATATCGTAGTCAGTTTGACGATATATGCATACAGCCTTAACTCGAGTGTGGATACATCGTATAGTGAACTCATAAGCTTGTATAATTTGTATAATAACATCTTCTGTAGCTTGTTATTGGTAATAAATGTTATATTGTGAAACAGGGTCGAAGCCTCTTCTGATTATTAGTACTGCATAGTCAGCATTCAACATATATGTACTCCAATCGTGCAAATAGCTGCGGTATGCTCAGGTTATCAATTTACATGTCCATATCTCCTCCAAATCCGTTCGGTCAATAATTGTCCCCATCGGACATTGACCAGCAGAGTGGCGTAACATGAGTCCATTCATTAAGGGGGCCCTGGATTGATTGGGGCGGCACCTTTCTTATTTGGAAAATTTAATAAAAGGCTACTGATTAGGAGGGGGAAGTGGTCAAGGCGTCTTCTTGTCTTATTCCCTTCTTCTTTTCCGCTTTCTCTATCCTCACTTTGTTATCCTTTAACATGTATTCACCACTCGAATGCGAATGGAGAGGGGGTACATGCCCCAGTGCCTCTTTGGGGCTACGCCTCTTGTCCAACGCCTAATTAAGTTACCTCCAAGTTCTTTCCTTTTGCCGGTCACTTTTAAAGCCCATCAGTACTAGTGTAGAGGAGGGATTAGACCACACTGCAAGGTCACTGGACAGGTGGCTATCTCATCAAATCAGCTCTCAAATAACATAAGAAAAAGAGGATCATGGGGGACCAATGATCACCGATTATGCATTGTCTGTTAAATAGAGGGCGCAAGTAGCTATAAGTAGTGCAGTGGGCCTTTAAAGTCCTATTTAAAAAAGTTCTTTTTTACGGCTTAAAGCTCATCGTCGCTACTTTCATCCTCCTCACGATCCGACCAGGGTCGTTTCGAGAATCGTTTGAAGCCTCTCCTGAACGACTGATAGCGGGGTCGAGACATGGGCTGGGGTTCGTAAGTGAAACCGGTGGTCTCGCTGCCTAGCTGGTAGTCCATGGTTCGTTCGATCTGAACTTTAGAAGGAGAATTCCTGAAATGAGGAAGACGAAAACATTATACAAATAATGAATGGTTATGATTTGTTTTATACAACATCGAAGAAGATCTAATAAAACGTTAATCAACAAATTATGCTTTATTCCTTATATTAAAGATAAATTAAAGTTGGAGTCAAGCCTTCTCGATTACATTCATATTTCCTTCGCGTCAGATACACGCAGGGATACGCGCACGGCAGAGAGGTACGCAGTCTGCATATAACCAAAAATGCACGCCCGTGCAATAGAACATCTATTGAATATCATGTGACCAACAATCCTCCAATCAAAAGACAAGGATCCACGTAGGTTTTGTATAAAACATGATTATGGGCTCGGTTATCACATACAGATTAAGTCTACTAGGTAAAGATAAAAAGAAATATAGGTAGATTAGTAGACAGTTGTGTTGATTGACGGATGATGTACATGTACATCATGTAAATCATGAAATTGGTTAATAAATATATTTTTGGATTTATTAATAAATACTCAAACAAATGCATAAATCAATGAATAAATATTTGTTTTAAATACATAAAAATGTGAATAACATCAATGGTAAGAACGAATTAACTACGGTAATAGTTAATGATGTGAGTGCTGATTTTGATAGAGATGATGCTGCCAATAATGAAGATAATGCTTAAGATGATAACGATGACGATGAATGATGACGATAATGATGGTGATGGTGACAATGATGATGATTATGCTGATGATTATAGCCATTACAATTGGAAAGCGAATATTTATAAGACATCATGACGCAATATAACACGAAACTGAAAATGATGACGATGATGAGTGAGGGTGATGATGATGAGGACGGTGATTAAAATGGTGATGATGATGATGGTGACGATGATGATGATTATGCTTATGAGTATAGCCATAACATTTGGAAAGCGAATATTTATAAGACATCATGACGCTTTATAACACGAAGCTAAAAATGATGACGATGATGAGGGTGATGATGATGACGACGGTGATGAAAATGATATTGATGATGATGATGATGATGATGACTATGCTTATGAGTATAGCCATAACATTTGGAAAGCGAATATTTACAAGACATCATGACGCTATATAACACGAAGCTAAAAATGATGACGATGATGAGGGTGATGATGATGACGACGGTGATGAAAATGATATTGATGATGATGATGATGATGATGATGATGATATTGATGATGATGATGATGATGATGATGATGATGATGATGATGTTGACGATGATGATGATTATGCTTATGAGTATAGCCATACCAAATGGAAAGCGAATGTTTATAAGACATCATAAATCAATATAACATGAAAATGAATGATGACGATGATGACGGTGATAATGAAGACGGCGGTGATGAAATGATAATGATGATGATGGTGACGATGATGACGATTATGCTTATGATTAAAGCGGTTGTTTATAAGACATCATGAAGCAATTCTGAGCGGTAGAAAATTTAACAGAGTTCTGAAGTCAAGCATACAAAAAGGTAGAATCAAAGGGAAGTCTATGAAAAAAGCAATCTTTGAGTTACTAGAGGCGTACAGGTCAACGCCACACCAAACTACATGTGTACCTCAATTTGAATTACTATATGGGAGACAGGCGCGTACGCAAGGGGTGTGTTTTGGAGGAACCCCCCCCCCCCTCTTAATAGAAAAAATGTGCTAACGGGTGACCAAAAAAGGGTGACATTACCCCCCCCCCCCCCCCCCCCACTTATTCAGCGGCTGGCTGAGTCGTTGCGAATTTTTGGCGCAATTTTCAAATTTTAAAACCCCCCTTTCGAGAAAAAAAATCCTGCGTATGCGCCTGATGGGAGGGAAATGAGAACAAAATTACATGTAGATGTGATGAGTATGACCCCTCCAAAATCAAAAGACAGTTCTCAAAAGAAAGTGAAAGAAAGGGTAGAGCAAAGGAAAATGTTATCATCACTTACTTTCTCCTGCAGGCTCTCTTAAAGATGACGATGATAATGATTGGTACCAGCAAGATGAGAAATGTTCCTACCAGAGCGATTAGTATGGAATGCTCGCTGATCATCGTAAAGAAATCTGTAGGAGACAAGAAGTAAGAGGCTCCGTGAACTTCAGCAACACAACATAGAATTAAAGACAAATCACTTTAAATCAGCTTTATTAATTTTATAAATGCCCTTCTCCTTCTTTTTATCTTCTTCTTCTATTTATTGTTGTTCAATTTGTTTTCCTTTCTTCTTTTTTATGTCTATATTATTTTCAACTATATTTAATTATCTATCTACTTATTTATTTGTTCATTTATTCCATTTATTCATTTACCAAATGATTTATTTGTTTGATTAGTTTGTTATCTATTCATTTATTATCAGATCATTTATTAATTTTATTTTATTTTCATTTATCATATTTCATGTTTATCTGTTTTACTTATTGGTATCTATTCATTTAAGCATTAATATTGTTCCTTTGTGTTGATCAGCATTCAAGTAAAAATTGAACAATATTAAATTTCTATCTGAGATTTCAATTACTGAGATTTATCCTTGTTTTCTAGTCCAATTTTTCCCTCCCCCGAATTGGGCAACCATTTTAAAACTTACTGAAAGGTTTTGTTGCTGCTGCGTTGTTGGAAGTGTTGTTACCAGGAGCTATATAGAGAATAAAAGGGAGGAAAAAAGGAGATAGAACAGTGACAAGAGTATTGGAAGGTCGTAAGCGTAAGTAAACCATTAATCGTGTGCAATTTCCCCAAATTTTCATCTCTCTCTCTTTTAATCTCTCTCAATATCAATACAAATTAATTAATTTTACGACAGCCGATTCTTACAATTTCAAAAAATTGGCATTTCCGAACACATAAGAGTTTATCTTGGAAATAGTTAATTATTTTTGCGGTTTTAAAAGAATTTGACCTTTAAAAATTCACGATTTTACTTACTCGTTGTCGGTTTTGTGATGTAATCTGTGTAGTTCGTGACGTCATTAACTCCCTTTTCGACTTCCATCGTCGTCGGCTTCTTGCTCGCTTCCGACGCCATTTCTTGGGTCGACCGCCTTGACGAGGTCATCGCCTTTGTCAAAGTCTCCGGTGTCGATGACGAAGGTTTATCCGAAGGCGTCATCGTTGTCGACGTCGTGTCGACCGGCACCCTAACTTCGACCGTGGTTGTTCGCTTCTCAGTCGACATCACCTTACTGCTTTCCGCGGTCGTTGCTTCGCGTGTGGTACGTTTTTCCGTCGTCGAAGTGGTAGTCGTTTGCACAGGTTCCGACGTCGTCGTCGTCTTCATTGTCGTCGTCGTCACTCTCATCGTTGTACTGGGGGTAGTCGTCGTTCGTGTTGTGGTTGGTTCTTGAGTTGGAACAGGAGGGCTCGTCAATTTCATTACTGTATATAATATAATACATTAAATTACAGGGTGTCTAAAAATTGTAATGATGTTGAGGAAATATTGGAGACTAACTGAATGCCAACTCCAATACAAAGACTCTAGCCCCTCTATAAAGTGGTAGGACCCCCAAATTGGCAAAATTTCACTTAAAAATCCACATTTCTGCAAAGACCCCCCCCCCCTTACAAAAAATAATAATAATAATGTGTTAGGGTTTTCTGATATACGCAAAAGTTTGTTTATTTGTTTTCAAATTCGAAATTATATCGGCGATCAGTTCGCTGATATATTTGTACATGTATGACCCTCGCCCTTTTGTACCACATAACATCCTCCATCCACCCCGCCCTTCCTTCTGATTTGAGAACTCTTGTCTTCATCAGCTCGAGATTGCCGAATATCCCGCTATTTCAACTATCCCGCTATTTTAACTATCCCGATCGCAAATTATCCAGTTAATTTTCGTCTTCATCAGCCCGAAGTTGCAATTAACGTGATATTTGGTCGAGATAATCATCCAACGATATCTTGGGATAGTTTGCAAAATATCCCGTTATTTGTCCGGTGCGTCTTCACCAGCCCGAAGACTCGCACTGGCGCGAACGCTGAGCAAAATATCTCGAGCTCGAGTTTCAAGTTTTGAGGTCGTGTCTCGAGCTGATGAAGACGCGATTTGTAACTTCGGGATTGTTTCCCAAATCAGAAATAGCGGGCTATTTGGCAATCTCGAGCTGATGAAAACATACTGACGATGCACATTTACCTGCGCAGTAAGGAACAGACGTACTCCAGATGACTCCCATGCCCGGCCCTCCCGGGGCCAGGATGCACTGAATGGCCTCTATTCCAAGGAGCTCGTAGCCAGGCAAGCAAGCAAACCTTACGATGTCGCCGAACTTGAAACTTGTATCGAGCTGGATACCGTTTGCCGGTGCGCCAGGATCATAACACTCGCCCATGTTGACTGTATAAAAGCAAATAAATATATTCCAGTTATTGACTTATTTTTGTTTGTTATTTTATTTATCTTCTTTTTGGTTGACTAATTTTGTTGTTCTAGATCCAGCAATCGTTTTTTTTTTTTTTTTCTTTTTTTCTTTCGCATAACGAAAGGGGGCAACATAGTGCCCCCCCCTTCTATTTTGAGGTGATGAATTTGCTTAGATTCTTTCTTTTTCATTTTGTTTATTTCTAGTTTTCTTTTCCTTAATCTTCTTCTTACTATTCCTTTCCATCTCCTCCTCCTTCCTCTATATCTTGTTTTCGTATTTTCCTTTTATCTGGTCTATGTTTCTCTCTTTTTTTCTTCCTCAGTTTCTTTTTTCCTTTCCTTCTTTCTTTCTTGCATTCTTACCTTTCTTTCTCCCCCTCCCCCTCGTCTCTCTCTCACTCTCTGTCCCCTTTTCTATCTATCTATCTTTATTTCTATCCTCCTTTATTTCGTCCCTCCCTTCCTTTCTTTTGTTCCTTCTCACCATCGAATACGGATAGTTTGTCAATATCTGTTCTGTATCCTCCGCAGACCTGTCCGTAGTCCCCGGGACAAGGGGCTTGGCACTCTGCATCGGAGAGTTTGGTGTGATTAGCCAGCTCAGCCTCAACCAAACCACAGTAGCACTCCTATTTAAACGGCAAAGATGGTTGAAGAAAGACATATGAACATGATTTTAGTGATATAAGCATACATTTTCAGAAGAAAACAGACCGATCAAGGTAAAAGGTTTTATGTGGGAGTGTCGTGGTCGAGTGGTTTAAGGCGCTTGAGTGGAGATGCGAAGGTCGAGGGTTCGAATCGCGACACGGCATTAATATCCTTTGGCAAGATATTAACCTGCACGTGCTACTCTCCACCCAGGTGTTAAATGGTACCCGGTAGGATGCGACCGTCATTGTTGGTCAAACAGTTTTTGAGTGTCATGTAACGCCTGGCTGGAATGCTCCCTAGTTAGTAGAGATTGGTGTGTGCGGGCAAGCACTGAATCCAATGACCGGGGTAATAGTATATTTATAAAGGGCTTAGAGACATTTGTAAAAGTGCTATATAAAAATTAAATATTAGTATTATTATTATTAAAAGGTTTAATGGAGGGAGACAGAGACATGGGAATTCGCATTGTGCATGGGTGAGGTTGGTTTGACGAGAAGCAGATGATGAACTACATGTACATCTCTTGGTCTTTAAAGTGCTGAAAAAATGATGAAATTCAGTACTCACGTTACCGTTTTTGAGACCATAGATGCGGTAATGCCGATACATACAGAACTGCCAGCATCGATCCTCCGTCATATCGGGCTCGACGATGACGTTGTCGATGAGTGTCGAGGTCAAGGCCCCGTATGTGTCTTGGTAACACCCAAGGTAACCTGGTCCTGTCAAACAAAAGCGAGATCGTCGACCACGGGTTAAGACCTTTTTTTTTTGTCAGGGCCAATTTCGTTCGACATTTTATACAATTATGTTACGTATAATGAAAGCACGTTCTGATATGCAAAATAAAACTGCGGCAGGTTAATAAAAAGTTATTAAAAACGAGTCTGAAGGCGACATAGTATAAGATTAAAGGACTAGACATCAATATTTCAGCACTGTAACTTTCAAATTTCTGTCGATTTAGCAGGGAAATTATATTGATATTTCATACAAAATGTAGGTCTAGTTTGTTTGATACGATGACAATGATGATCTAACTGTTATTCAAAGAGACAATTACTTTGTTACAATTGTTTGTTTCTTTCTTTCCCTCTTTCCTTACCGTGGCATTTAACTCCTGTGTGCTCATAACATGGAAACGTGGGGTGATAGTTGTTACATCCTACCAACGAGGCCTCATCTGCAAAAAGCGAAAACAAAGTACATGTTTAAAGATGAAAGTAAAACGTGAAAAAAGAGAAGGTTAGTTAGAAAATTGGAGGAGGAATAGGGAAAGACAAGGAGATAGACAGGGAGAAACAGAGGGTGATTGAGAGGGACCGAGAGAACAAGAGAGAGAGAGAGAGAGAGAGAGAGAGAGAGAGAAAGAGGGAGAGGGGAGGAGAAGAGATGGGGATTGAAGAGAATAAGAGAGAAAATAAGAGTCAACAAGGAACTCAGGCTTTTACATGCTGTTATATCATTTGAATTGATTGTAGGTATATTTTATACAAAAAGCTATTTAGCAAAAAAATATACCGCCATCTCTCTCTCTCTCTCTCTCTCTCTCTCTCTCTCTCTCTCTCACACACACACACACAAACAAACAAACACACATTTCACTATATATATCTCTCTCTCTCTCTCTTTCTCTTCCTCTCCCTCTCTATATCTCCATCTCTCTCTCTCTCTATCTCTTCTTCTTTTTCTTCTTCTTTTTTTTTCTTTTCTATTCTTATTTTACTCCCTGAAATGTGTTTTTATCTTGTCAGCAAATCTCAACCGCTTTTTATCATATTTATGCTAGTGTTTATTATTTTTATTTTCCTTCAAACTTATCAGCCCCCCCCCCCCCCCCCTGCCCCTGCCCCTCCCCCCTCCTCCTCCTCCTGCCCCTCTACCCTTCTTCCCGAAAATACCAACCGGTAACAACAACAAAAAATAACTTACCTCCTGTGCATCTCCATTCGCGTGAGAGAAGGACAGTACCAACAGACGAGGAGTAACTGGGGGTGCCATGGATGGCCCCCGGGTACCCCAGCTGCCTGCAGACGACGATAGCTTCTTCGATACCCCATTCCTTATCGCACGTCCCGAACCATCCCTTATTACCCAGGAAAATCTCCACTCTCCCCTCCCTCATGTAAGACGTTTCAGGGCCTCCCCGTAGCCGCACGTCTGTAGCAGAAAAGAAAGATGATCATTAAAAAACGATATTATGTATTTTTTATTTCCGTGTATCACATTTTTATTCTTTTCAGGACCATGATGTAAAAATAGATTTTGTATCTACAATGTATTATCTGGTTTTTGTTATCCTGATTAAATATATTTCAATTAAAAATATAATAAAATTAATTAATTGGGCCCCTATGAAATACAGCTGTGCTGACTAGGGTGTTCCGCTCATATGTGGAATTAAATAAATTATATTAAAAAAAATTATATCCTGGGTTCGTATAGCGCTGAAAGTGTATCAACGACAACAAAAAAACAGCACATAAAGTTCAAGTATAAATATTAATAATCTGGATTTAAACAGTGCTTAGTACGAAATACCATCTCTAAGCGATTTACATAATTTATTACCCCTGTCATCGGATTCCATCACGCACAATGTGCACCATCTCCACTCCCTGGGGAGTATTTCTACCATATGGTCACGGTCTGGGCTTATGGCAATTACCTACACAAAGGCTTCAATCAAGAGAAAGAGGGTCCAAATCCTTGCCCGGATTCAAATCCTTTGAAAAGGCAATTTTCTACACCTTATACTCTTCACCCAGGTGTACACGGGTACCCAATATACTGGAGTGCTGTATGTGTGTGTAATGGCGTTGTAGCGCAAAGAGCGTCACGTCGTGACAGATATACATGCTTTACAAGTAGTATCAGATTCTAGCAAATTAAATTCAAGTTTGATCTGTTCATATAAGGTATAAGGGCGGATACCCATCTTAGCGGGTAATCGACAAACTGAAACCGAAACTTTTTGTTTTCTTTGTTTCAGGGTCGTACTCAGGGTGTTTTAGTTTTAGTGACTTAAATCAAAAGTAAAGACCGATTTAGACTGGATGACATCATGAATGACGTCATATATGACCAACTCTGCAGACATCATTTGGCCCCATTATATGACCTAATTTCATGATTCTGCAAATTATAATTATATTCTAGACAACTTTACAAAGTAAACATGACACAGAACTTATCCAAATATTAGGACAAGTAAAATGAATTCCTATTTTCTCGTCCGAATTTTTTTAACGAGAAGGAGGGTGTTTCTTGTAATTATATTATTGAGTCAACTTTGACACAGATTTTCTGAATTAATTTTCTTCTGTTCATACCTATCACAGGCTAAAAACAATGATAATGATTTTTATGACGTCGTTAGATTATATTCCATTTAATTTCATTAAACAGGTATTAAATAGAAGAAAGAAAAAATGAAAAAAGTGCTGCGGTCCGGGATAAAAAAAAAGGAAATAGAACAACTGGGAATTTATTTTCTTTTGCCATAATAGTCTCAGATTAGAGTGGGCAATGAAGAATGTTGAAATGGATGAAAGCTGTCTAAATTATGGCTTACCCGGTATCAATTAGCTTAAAACAATATGGTATGGAGTTTAGCTCCTATTTGAGACACCCTCCCCCCCCCCCCCCCCCCCCCCCCCGCTCCATTCCTCCTCACAAATGACGATATCAATTGGATTATACGTCAATAATACATGTATACCGATATTGGCTTGCAGTTTGTTACAATTTTATGTATACATTCAAGCAATATTGACTTAAAAACTCACTGTATTTTCTTAGATTCATCTTCAAAATATCAAACCTATTATTTTACTCAATTCTAAACTACAATACGAGACACATACGGAAGTTAAAGGTTATGTCCTCTGAATACCAAAAGAAAACGGAAATAACACTAGAAAGAAAAGTAAGCATAAAATTAATTTCTAACGACTACTGATGAGTAAGTATGGGATGCATTAAAGATACTTTGTCCCTTTTGCAGCCAACATAAAATTCTGTAGAATTGTGCAGGGATTATGAATATGTCATGTATGTCCTATCTGTGAAATTTAAACGTTAGCAGTGTCCTAATATTCAAATTATGCAAGGAAACCCGTTTACTTGCTAGACTTCACTGTCAGACACTATTGAGTGACTGACTGGCTTTTTTCATCTTTGGTAACAACATACATAAAATGAGCTGTAAAGGGTACATGATCATTTGTCTACATCAATAACCTATTCCTTGTGATGGCCAAAATTAAACTAATTGAATCTGTGCGCAGCATAAAACGTACGACCATTCGGTACAATGTTCTGAAAAATCAGACTACTTACTGGCTCTATACTCCTAAGTCGATCCGACAACTGAATAGTCATTATTTTTCCACTTAAAGACATTTTCAAGCCTCCTTTTTTTAGGGAAGTTCTAAATTAGTATTGTCTTTCAAATGCCGTTGGAATTTAACCTTTTCATTTTTGGCCTGCAAATGGGACATACCTTTAACAGTCGAATGGCCCACATTATAAGTTAATTACTTCTTCCTCTTCTTCTCCTTCTTCTACTTCCTCTTCTTTTTCTTCTTCGTCTTCTCCTTCTTCTTCTTTTTCTTCTTATTCTTATTCTTCATTTTCCTCTTCGTATACATGTTATAATGCCATGTACAAACGTTGCTTAGTTTATTTACATGTATAATGCAAATGTATACTCGCTGGACACAGGTTTTTTTCAAGTAAACGGGGAATAACCTCCCAATAAAAAGTCAAAGTACTGAACATTATAAATTATCTTCAAATTTTATCAAGAGGATCAGCCTTCATACACATACATGTATCTATTATACATTGTCAGAGAGATCGTTATTTACATTAATAATTTTGATGATATAATGAGCCATGGGCGATGGGGCGCAGAGGAATACTTGAGAATAGTTTTTGTTTTCATTCGAACATTCAGATGAAAGATTGAGCATGCCCATTATTTTTTCTAGTTCTAGGAAATAGCCAGAATTAAGTATACATTCAAAGAAGTATACTTCTGGAATATGAGTCAAAAGCAAAACTTAAAAACTTACCCCATACTGCAGACATAGAGGAACATTGCAATAAACAGGTTCCTAACAGAAGAACACTGATGACTGCGCATTTCAAAATCATCTCTGACACTCTCGTTTCTCGCTCAACGAAATAGAAATGATAATTTCTCTCTACGGTGAAAAGAAAGTGCAAACGACGTCCTAACTTGCCAGAATATCCTGGATCAAAATCTGTTACACCTTTGAAATAATATGGTTCCTTAAACTTCTTTTTCCTATAACTGACGAGTAATCGTTTCTGATCAAGAAGGCTCCAGTTATGTCTTGTCCACAGGTAGACGGTTCTAAAGTAATATGAATGATTATCCAGCTGTACTACATAATTATTGCCACTGTCATAATTGTAAACAGGTACATGTACACCAAAACTTACCCGAGCTGCAAAGACAGGGGCGTTTGAGGGTACACCCGCCACCCTGAAAATTTACAACGGGAATCCTTGAAAACGAGTTCCTATTTCCGTCCGTCTGCGAGTCGACTACCAACATTGAAGTGATACATCAGCCTGTCTGATTCCTATCTTCGTAATTACACCTCTTTTTAATCATTCAGCAAAAATGTGGACCCCCTACTGCTCATGAGGGCCTTCACCCCTTTCA